CTCCATCCAGCAACCTGTTTCTGGTCTGGGAAGGCAGCAGAGAATGGCCCAGGTCCTTGGACCTTGCACCAATGTGGGAGATGATGAGGAATCTCCCAGCTCCTGGCTTTGGATCATCTCAGTTCTGACCATTGCAGCCATTCAGGGAGTGAACCAGCGGATGGAGGATCTTTCAGTCTCTCTGTTCTATAAAAATCTGCCTTTCCAATAAATAATTAAATTAATTTAACATATGTCTTAAGAAAAAGACGTTAAAGAGATGAAAGGGTAGCACATGAGGTTTCCAGTAAATCTCCAGCAATAGATAGCGTCATTGTTGACTGCTGTAATAATCCTGAGTTGGAACTGATTGCCTCGTGAGCTCCTCTGATGTTTCTGGAACCTCGGGAAAGCAAACCGCGCCAAGTGCTGCCAGCTCTGCCAGCGAGGCAGGGCTCACTCTCTGACACCTCTGTTTGAACCTAAAAGTTTCCTGGTACAAAGTTCTGTTTGTGTTTCTTCTCCCGGGTGCTGATAACCAACTTCACACCCACCCAGAAAGTCTACCTGGGACCGACGCGCGGGAGCCAGCCGCGGGGACGCAGGCGCTCCTCCAGGGGCTCCTTCCTGCCAGGCCTGTTTGGGTAGTAGAAATCCGCTATCGCCATCTTGTGGACACACAGCAGAAAGTCGAGATTGGACCAAAAAAAAAAAAAAAAAAAAAAAAAAGACAGCTTCAAAGGCTCTAAACCGCTGGTCCTGGCTGGCATCGTGCCTGTCCTTGGCCAGTCCCTGTTCCCTCTTCTCCACACCTCCCAACCCTGAGTTCCCGGAACACTCAGTGTGAAGGCCCAAGTCCTCACCTGTGGCTTTCCAGTCCGCTGTCTTTCTCCACTTAACACCCCTTGCTCACTCGCTGCCCTGCCACCGAGCTTCAGCATTCAGTAGCTTCTCACGTGGCCTTCTCTCTCCCATGTTGTCTTCATCCAGTCATCTTTCATGGTACACCTGTGGCTCATCTCCCCCAGAAGAGGCCGGTCCCCCTATCTGCACACATTTCCCCACCTCCCAGCAGCCCTCCCTCTTGCACAATGCAATCAGCTGCTTCTTGGTGAGATCATTGCGTGGTCTGCAAGCTCCACCAAGGTGAAGGCTGTGTTGGCTGTGTCTGTGGCCCTGGACACATCGTGAGTACAGAACTAACCTTGGAAGGATGGACTGCATGGCTTGGCGCGTGCTTCAGAGAGAGTGAGGACTGAGGGGTACATGGAACAGAATTCTTCAAATGGGTGGCACAAGAGGAGGTGTGAGGACCATTCTTGGAGCCAGTGCCTTCCTTGGTCAGTCAGCACAAGCAGGTGTGAAGACTTTTTTTAAAAAAGATTTTTATTATTGTTATTATTGTTGGAAAGACACATTTCCAGAGAGAAGAAGAGACAGAGCAAGGAAGGTCTTCCATCTCTTGGTTTACTCCCAAGTGGTTGCAATGAAGCTGAGCTGATCTGAAGCCTGGAGCTTCTTCCAGTTCTCCCACGTGGGTGAAAGGACCCAAGGCTTTGGTCCATCCTCTACTGCTTTCCCAGGCCAGGGAGTTAGAAGGGAAGTGGAGCAGCTGGGATTCAAACCAGTGGCCATATGGGATCCCCGCACTTGCAAGGGGAGGATTTTGCCCCTGAGTCATCATGTCGGACCCAGGTGGTAAGACTTTTGCCGTCCTACTCCAAACCCATCCCTCACCCAGTGCTTCACTCCCATGGTTCCTTAGTACTGCCCGTCCGGCCCTCGTTCCTCTCAGGCCCTCCTCAGCTCCACAGCAGCACCAACATCGACTCCCAGGGAGGAGGAGAAAGTACATGGTGGCTCCTCCAGTAGAGCTGTGTGTAACAGGGACACACTGGTTTCAGTTAAACCCGTTTCTCATGACCTCTCAGGCTAAGCGTTCTCCTCTGCTCTGGCCGATGGACGGTGGTCCTGCAGCTAAGGCTGCTGTAGATTCCAGAGTGCTGGCTTAGCTGCCGCATCGAGACTTGACCAGTCGTCATTCTTTGCACTGAGTGACAAAAGCCTAATTCAGACAGGTTTATCTCCAGAGGACACTCGGTCAGCCTGCAGAGCTGAAGCCGGCGAGGCAAGTTGCAGACACATCTGGATCCAGGGCCTCTGTCCACCTCACAGCTCTGATGTCACCTCTAGGAGGCCTTTCTCATGCTGAGGCCTTCTCAGGAAGGTTCCAGGCTCACATCTGAACCAGCTCAGCACACTCAGCCGCAAAGGGAAGCTTAACTAGAATCACCAGGTTTTGCAAATATTTGGAACATGCTCATACTGATCAAACACACAAACAAAATGTTCATTGATGCTCGATCTGAAGCTCAGATATAACTGGAGTTCCTATGGATTACTGGCTGCCCCAAGTCCAGTACAGATCCTGGGACTAAAACTGGACAATGTGGAGCAGGTGCCCACCCCAGGACCTAATCATGGTTACCAGAGGAATAGGCTATGCCAGTTGGCAGACCCCTGGAGCAGCAGAAGCAGAGCCAGCCCCTGTAGACCACAGGTGCTGGCCATGGGAGAAGGGAGGGGCCACTCAGCAGTGATCAAGACACTGACCCTAGAACAGAGACAAATAAATCCTACACAGTGAGAATTAGACGCCTCCACAGTGGCTGCCCGGTACACAAGAGCTGGCCGGCATTTTCAGTTTGTTTCTTCTTTTCTGATATTATAACCATGCTCAACAGGAGTTTAGTGGGAATGCCATAACCAGAGACTGGGTGGCTCGAACAACCGGAAAGAACTTTGTCACGAATCTGGAGACTATAAGTTCAAGGTCAAGGTACGGGCAGGGTCAGCTTCCTCTGAAGACTCTGTTCCTTGGCCAACAGATGGGCACTTTCTCCCATGCCCTCCCAGGTCCTACTGCTGCAACTGGCTGTGCACTAATATGCTCTTCTAAGGTCACACTGCCCAGCGTCCTGCACCAACCTCCTTCCCACCATCCCCTCCAAGACCACACTGAAACCCAATCACCTCTTTAAAGGCTCTGACTTTGTTACTGCAATAAAACATCTGGGACTGGTGGTTTGGAAGACTAAACGGCCAAGGTCAGACAGCTCCACCTCTTTGCCCTCTGGTAACAGCTTCCTGGTGGATAGCAATGCAAGGCCAGAGGATGGGTCAGCCAGGAAGTCAAAGAGATTCCCAGGGACAGCGCTGCCGTGCACACAGCAGGCTAAGCCACCACTTCCAACACCATAGAGTCCCAGCTGCTCTGCTTCCAATCCAGCTTCCAGTGAGTCCAACCCCTGGAAAGGTAGACTACGATCCTACTTACCCTGTCCCTTGCGCGGGACAGCTCTGGAAAGTGAACAAGCAGATGGAGAATCTCTCTCTCTCTCCTTTTAACAAGGCTAACTTAAACAACAATTCCCTGCCACAGAAACTCTGGGTTCCATGAGAATGCTGAAGGACCTCATCTTTTTCCACTGTGCCCCACCTCTGAGCCACCTCCTACCATCACCGCCCTGGGGACCGAGCTTCTAGCACACGCACCCCCGGGAGTCACCCTCCACCCACAGCCACACCACAGCTGACCTCTCTGCACCTGCTGTCCCAAGCGAAGGAACGAGAGGAGCCCGAGTTGCAACACGCGACCTCAGGGGCACCCACGTGAGCCTATTACATTATAGACCAGAACGGTGGCCGTCTAGCTTGTCCCAGCCCCAAGGCTAATGCAGCAGTGACACCCAAAGGAGCCTAGTCAGACTGCAGGTGGTAGAGGGCCCCTGCCGCCCCCACCACACCTCCACTGATGTGTCTCTCCCCTTGCCAAGTCAATCACCTGGAGAGCCTACAGCCAATCCACCTCCAAGGTCCTGGCACCAACTATAGGCCAAGCACTTGGGTGCACCATTGAACAGTGTGTCTTGAAAGAGGAAAAAATCAAACAAACAAACAAAATAAAACACACCCTCCTAACATTTGTTCTGGACATGTCCCTGAAATGAAGGGGACAGGGGCCAGCACTGTGGTAAAGTTGCGACATGTAGTGCTGGCATCCTATACCGACTCCAGTGTGAGACCCAGCTGCTCCACTTCCCATCCAGCTTCCTGCTAAAGCTTCCTGGGAAAGCAGCAGAGAGAATGGCCCAAGAGTTTGGGCTCTACAGCCACCGGGAAGACCCAGAAGAAGCTCCTGGCTTCAGCATGGCACTCCCCTGGCTGATGTGATCATTTGGGGAGTGACTCAGGGGATGGAAGATTTCCCCCCTCTGTCTCCCTCCCTCCTCCCTTTTCATTGCAATTCTGCCTTTCAAATAAATAAAGCTCTAAGGAGGAAGGAGGTGTGAGAGATACGCACTGGAGCAGCAGAAATGAGGCTCCTAGATGTATAAATGAAGCCTTAGCGAGAACTCATCAGAAAGGTAAAATTACAGAAAGTGGAAAAAGAGGACAACGCGAGTGTTTCAATGTCTTCAGTCCCTAAGGCATTAATGATGGGGGGCGAGGCAGGGGTATGGAAAACCGTTGTTGGTTTTCGTGATGGAAGAGAAATGTAAATATGTATGATATGTAAATACCTTTCCATGATAAAAGCCCCAGGGAGATGGCTGGGCTGTCTGCGAAATCGGCCAGGCGTGGAGGACGCTAATGGGAACAGTCCTCACTCCAGCAATGACCATAATGCTTATGGGGCTTTGGAGAAGTCACCCACACACGCTGATCAGGAAACACACACGCACAACTGTCTGAGCTCCTGTCTCCTCTGCTTTTACCGTGTGGGAGATGAACAGGCTCCTGGAGCTGGAACTGCGAGTCTAGGAGTGCCCCAGCCGCCACAGAAGAGCCCCAGGGCCTCTGGACAAAGTTCTCTGTTCCCTGCCACCTGACCTCAGCCACACCCGGAGCGCGGCTGCCCGCCGACAGCGGCCCCTGGCGGCCACTGTGCTGGACCTGGGAGGCGGAAGGGAAGGCCCCGGGCCTGGCACGGCCTCCTTGCGCTCCGGAGACCCCCGGGGATGGTGCCCGCGTCCGCGCCCTGGGCGCGCGCCCTGTGGCGGGCCTGCAACGCGCTCATGGCCGCCTTCTTCGCGCTCGCCGCCTTCGTGCAGGTCAGGCGGCGCGGGGAGGGGCTGGGGAACCCGCCAGTGTGCGTCAGGCTCCGGCCCTCGTCCCTGGGGCCGGCTGCAGGGTAAACGGACTCCCTAACCAGAGGCAGTCAGTCCGGTGTCCCGGAAGCACGCATGGGCATGCGATGGGACCGGCAGAGCCGGCCCAGCAGCTTCCCTGACGCTCCTTGTTGGCCTGGCCCTCCCCCACCTGTTATGGGCAGCCCCAAGTCCTCTTCCACCACCATCCCGGGGATGTGTTATGGTTCACTCAGCCAGGATGATTAAGCCAGGAGGCCATGTGTAGCCCGGGGGCGGGGTGGGGACAGGAACAACCGTGGATGGGTTTACAGGACCCTCTAATGTCTGACCCTCTTGTCCTTGCAGACCAATGATCCTGATGCAGAAGTGTGGGTGGTGAGTACGCTCTGGCTTGCAGGAATTGTGTTAACCGTACCCTTTTCTGTATTTGCCATTCCTATATTGACATCTAAACTTTAGTATTCAACTCCTTTGTAAGGTTTTCTTTTCCTTTTTTTTTTTCCCATGTGCTTTAAAGTTGGGGGTTGGTGCAGAATTACAGAGACAATGCAAGCTGTGTGTGTAAATTCTTAACTTTCTAGAGACACAGAGGCCTTTCTAGGAGAGAGATTATACCAGCAGTTCTTGTACCATGATGACATCAGCAGCAGCATAAGTATTTTATTATTATAAAATAACAATATTTATTATTATTATTATTATTATTATTATATTTCAAGGAGTTGCAGAAAGGAAAGTTCACCCTGTAGTGTTTCGCTGTCCAAGTGCACTCAACAACAAAGCTTCATCCGAGTCTGTTTGGCAGGTGCAAGGTCCAAGGACCAGGGCCATCTTCTGCTGCTTTTTTTTTTACTGCAAGGACTAGCACACCCTCGGATGTTGCTGTCTCCTGGAGAAGAGAGGGAGGCCACTGTGTTCATTGGAGCTGATGACCCAGCTGAGGGCACTTTTGTGGGCCTTTGCATGGTCGTCTGAGTCGGCTGTCGGGGGACTCCAGCAACCTTGAGCAGGGCCTCTGCTAGCTCGGTGAGGTACAGTCGTAGAAAGTTGCTGGAGCCATAACCACTAAACCTGTGCTCGGAAGGGAACTACAGCAGGATTAGAGTGACCCCTGAGCATTTTCTGCAATTTTCCCCAGTTTCCTTCCTCGCATATACACGAGGCTGTGTGACATCGCCAGCTAGGAGATATATAGGCTTTGGAACAATGTCAGCCACGTATGGATGAGGAACTAGGGGGAGCCTGGGGGAGTATCTGGGGAAACCCTAGCCAGTCTGTGGCCTGGCATTTTCCCAGTGCATTCTGATTCACATATCCCTGATGGATGTCAAACCGTCCCTTCCTCAGCACCAGGGCCCTGAGTTTCAAAAACTGGTTCCCTGAAGATAAATCTCAAATATCCAGCTTAATGCTGAATTTCTCAGGCCGGCCTTGTGGCACCGCGGGTTAAGTCGCTGCCTATGACGCCTTCCACAGCTCATTTGAGTGCATTCAGCTAATGCACCTGGGAAGGTAGCCCAAGTGCTTGGGCCCCTGCTGCCCTGGTGGAGCACCCAGCTGGAGCTCTAGGCTCCTGGTGCTGGCCTGGACCAGCCCTGGCCACTGCAACCATTTAGGAAGGGAGTCAGTGGACGGAAGATCTTTCTGTTTATCTCCCCCTCTTTCTTCCTATCCTTCTGCCTTTCACATAAATAAGTCAATTTTTAAATTTATTTTTTGTTTGTTTTTTTGATACAATTTAGTTAGCACTGGCTCTTCCCTCCCTCAAGTTCCCTCCCCTCCCCTCTGTTCTCCCCTCCAGGTTCATAATGTGTGTCCTTCGTGAATTTTCCCAAGTCCATCATGTTTCCACTGGAATGTCTCCCAACCATGTAGGAGACTATCATTTCATTGTGAGTTCATTCTTGTATCCTGGGGCCCTAATGTAGGTACAATGAGGATTAGATCTTCGTTATTTATGGGCAGTACCAATAACAGTGACGAAGGGGACATTGGCCATCTCAGGTGATTGTAAACAATCAGCCTCTATGGATGGTTGATTAATGAATTACATCGCAAGATCTTGTTACAGGAGATACAGGTAAGTATGAAGTGACATAGAGTAAGATTCACCTATGCTATCTCCAGATTTGACATCATATTGTCTTATATTAGAGTAAACATATGATATCATTATCAGTCTTTTAGAAGATTCTTAGAGGCATCAGGAGACCTCAGATCCACCCTCCACCTCCTGACTCGCCCATTTCAGTTGGCAGCAGAATCAAGTGCTGAGTCATCCTGGCTCAACGCCTTGGTTGTCTTCAACATCTCTCTGCCTTACTCTGGCATCTTTTAAAACAAAACAATCAAATAATGAAATGAAAATCAACTCCGCAAGGAGCCACCCCAGTCTAATTTGCTGATTCATGTCCTATCTAAATGTATTGCCTTTTACTCCACGTTCAGATGACTGACAAACCCCACATCAGCACAGACACATGGCCCTCATTCCCAGTCAACCTTTCCTTCTCCTATATGGACTTGTACATGAACTTGTGCGACAGCCAGCACCTCCCCACTCTCTCTCTCTCTCTCCATTTTTTTTTTTTATTAAATATGTGTGTATTTTTTGGAAAAAGTTACAGAGAGGAAGGAAGAGACAAAACTTATACTTGCTAGTTCACTCCTTAAGTGGTTCACAGCTAGGGTTGGGCCAGGCCAAAGCCAGGAGCCATCCAGGTCTCCCTTGTGAGTGGCAGGGACCCAGGTGCTTGGGCTATCTACTGTTGCTTTCCCCAGCTCACTAACAGGGAGCTGGATCCAAAGTGGAGCGATGGAAACTTGAACTGGTGCTCATATGGGATCCCAGCATCACAGGCTAAAGCTTCCCCTTGCTGCCTGTAACCCAGCTAATGTGTCTGGGGAGGCAGTGGATGACAGTGTTCACAACAGCCAGGGCTGGGCCGAGTGGAAGCTCACAGCCAGGGACTCCAGCGGAACGGTAGGGGCTCCATGCTTGAGCCGTCACTGCTGCCTCCCAGACGTATTAGCAGGAAGCTGGATTGGAGACAGGACTTGATCCCAGAATCGCCAGTATGGGATGTGGCCATCACAAGTGACAGCTTAGCCCATTGCACCCCAACACCTGCTCCAGGGTGTACTTCATAACCCATGTTATTCCCTCTTTTGGCTCACAGGTGGTGTATGCAATACCTGCAGTACTGACCCTGCTGGTTGGATTTAACCCTCTTGTCACAGGTATGAAGTCTGGATTTGGAATGGAGATGTGGCCAATCAAATTTACTTGTACTGTTCCCTGCAATGACTTTCTCATTTGGAATGTAGCTAACACCTATACACCTGAAGTTATGTGTAGACATTGTCTGAAACAAGTCTTGAATTTTGCATTCACACATGTAGCAGATTTTGCATTAATTTGGGTATTGGCTTTGGTGTCCTCCAAGGATCTGGTGTTGAAGACATGGCCCTAGTGTGGCTTTATTAAGAGACAGTAGAGGGCCCAGCGTGGTGGGCTAGTGGCTAAAGTCCTCGCCTTGAACACACCAGGATCCCATATGGGCGCCGATTTTAATCCCAGCAGTCCTGCTTCCCATCTAGCTCCCTGCTTGTGGCCTGGAAAAGCAGTCGAGAGCAGCTCAAAGCCTTGGGTCCCTGCACCCACGTGGGAGACCTGGAGGAAATTCCTGGATCCTGGCTTCAGATCGGTGCAGCACCAGCCGTTTTGGTCACTAGGGGAGTGAATCAGCGGATCAAAGATCTTCCTCTCTGTCTCTCCTCCTCTCTGTATATCCGACTTTCCAATAAAAATAAATAAATCTTAAAAAAAGAGAGACAGGGCCCGGCGCGGTGGTGCAGTGGTTAAGGTCCTCGCCTTGCACGCCCGGGATCCCATGTGGGCGCCGGTTCTAATCCCGGCAGCCCCTCTTCCCATCCAGCTCCCTGCTTGTGGCCTGAGAAAGCAGTCGAGGACGGCCCAAAGCTTTGGGAACCTGCACCTGCGTGGGAGACCCAGAAGAGGCTCCTGGCTTCGGATCGGCATAGCATCGACCGTTGCGCTCACTTGGGGAGTGAAACATCGGACAGAAGATCTTCCTCTCTGTTTCTCCTCTCTGTATATCCGCCTTTCCAATAAAAATAAATAAATAAATAAATTTTTAAAAAAAGAGAGACAAAGAGACAATAGAGGCTTGATCCAGTTACACCCATGTCTAGGATATGGGTGGGGAACCATATATTTTTTTGCCAAGGGCCGTTTTGGTATTTATACCATTGTTCACAGGCCACACAAAATTATAAGCTTAGAAATTAACCTACTATATATTTACTGAATTTTGAGTCCCGCATACAGTTGCCTTGGCAAGGCCAGATCAGATGATTTTGTGGGGTGAATACACCTCACCTCTGATCTAGGAGGTAGGGCTAGTTGGAAGTCCTTTGGTCACCAAGGACATGCCCTTGGGAGTTGTTTGTTACCTAAAGGCTGGTTCTCCAAGCCTGAGTTGGTTCTCCAGCCACTCTCCTCTGCTTCCTGGTTCGCCTTTACTTGTTCCTCCACCCACCACACTCATCAAAGGTCAGGCCTGGCTGATATGTTGCACTGCGGTTTTTCAAAACTACAAGCCAAAATAAACTTTCTGCTTTCACAATTGGCTTCTCTCGGGTATCTGTGATAACAATGAAAGTTGCCCTCTATCTTATCTCCCTGTGTCCCGCCAAGGCACCTATGACCGGATATTACATATTTGCATGTTTCCCTTGCTAAGCTGTGGCTGCCTTAGACGCAAGATGATGTTTTAGGTGTTTCTGCTTAAGATTGGCCCATGCATGTGTCTTAATCTGCTTGGACTTCAAAAAGACCATAGGCAGGGTGGCTTAGAAACCATTTAGATTTCTTTCTCCCAGCTTTAGAGGGTGGGAAGTCCCAAATTAAGGTACTACTTAATGCTTGTTGAATGGATGAATGTTTAAAATAAAGAATAGTGTCATATTTATTGTGTAGCCTGCTTTTTGAACTTTCAGGTAAGTGAAGACTATATAATTGGTAATTGGTTTGTATTGTTTAATTGGCTGTGGAACTCAGTGCTAGGCAAAATAGCTCCTTGACCTTTGGCAGCCATAAAAAAACCCTCAAGAAATCTTAATTGGATGGTTCTGAACTATTAAACAGTATCTTAATAACAGAAAAGAATCCATCTGATGGTAGTTATTAAGATTTCTTAATCACTGGGGACCATTAAACGTTAACATATTATTCTCTCTAAGTCAGTTTTTGAGAGAGGGGCTTGACACTTCTGAGCGACCTCAGAAGGAAGCTTGATTCTCACCTTGATTCTCACCTTGATGGGGACAATTCTAGTTCCTTAAATGCCTGGGCTCCTTGTTCAGGCCTGAAGAAGTCTACATCTTGAAGCTGGATCTTCCACTTGGAGCTCCTCTAGTTAAAAGCTAGAAAAATACTCAACAACTCACAGGTGCTGGGAGGGAAGAAGAAAATGTACTAGCATGAGAGGGCCCTTCCCTAGCTCCTGGAACTACAAAATGAAAGCATAAGTTTATTTGGGCGTGAAAAGTTTTTGAAACCTATGCAGAATTTGTTCATAATATGCATTTTTATGAACTTCATGAAGACCCCGCCTCATCTGCATAGATTTCAGAATTTCCTTGCACAAAAATAATCTTTTAATTCCATTTTTCATGAGCTTATGTTAACTGAAACAGATGGGGTGGCATTGACTTAAGACATTTGTCTATTCAGGATTTAAATTTCTCTCCACCTCTCCGTGGTTGGCTGCCCTGACTTTGCTCTTGCGTTCCACCTGATAATCCCACATCTTCCCATCCATGTCTAACAGACTGAATTTCGAGAGGATGTAGACTGTGTTTCTTTACCAAGACGTCAGAATTGAGTTACGGGTCCTGACTTACCGTCTGTTTGTTCTCAGCCAAATCCCTATGGCTAAGTACATACAATGTATTGCTTCATCTAGTGTGGTCCAGTTCACTGGACACATGGACTGGCGGACCCCCACCAAAAAATAAGGGTTGGCTGTCACACGAAGGAGGAGTTTGCTAGACCCCTAAAACAAGAAATGACTACTTCAGTTCATAAGCAAGCCTGTGGCTTCCATATTTGTTATTCCCAGAAAAAAAAAATTCAAGTTTTTTCTGAAGGTATTCCCTGAAAGCAGAGTATAACAAAACACACAATGCCATCATTTTTCTCTGAGATGCGTTAATCTAGCGTCATTAACAACATCAGGATATCTCTTTGCAGGTAACTTTATTTGGAAGAGTGTGTCTGCGATCCACACATTCGTTTGCATGGTATGGGCTCTCGGCCTGGCTTACCACTTCTTGCTTCATGCACAGGAGAACATCTTACACGAAGAAGAAGGCAGGTAAGCAGTGACTTTTGCTCTTTGAAAGGCTGGGATAGTTCTGAGAAATCTCACATCCCTTACCTGTGCATGATGCTGACTTAATCCCCTCACTCTACCATGTCCGCATTACACGTGGGAGAAACGGAAGAAGTGAGGAAAGGCAAGGTTCAAACCCAGCAGTGTCTATCAGACTCTGTTCTTTCTACTGTAGCACAGACATTCTGTAGTGGGGCAGATAGGCCTTGGCTTCCTTACAACTAGCAAGCGTGCCATGCAGTAATCCTCCACCTACTCTAAGAGGGTCATTCCTCTGTCTGCATGCCAATGTATCTATGATTCAAGACGAATCTTACCAAGTGGGATTGGCCACCTCTGTGAGACTTGTTCTGGAATGTCTCATGACTGTTTGCTAACTTGTAAATGGACCCTTCCAAAAATTAAGTACCTATTAAGAAAAAAAAAAACATATGAGCTACATCCATGATTTCAGGTCATGGGAGGAACAGTACAACTAAGAAACCCAGGTCAGATTTATCCATCGTTTTCAACATTATTTTAGATGCTTCAGTGTTGGGCAGGATGAGATCAAACCAATACATGGAGTCCAAATGCAGGAGAGGAAGTCAATGGGTAGGGAAGAAAAATGAACCAGGCTAATAATAATTGCAGGATGGGTAGCTGCTTACCAGATGTGTGAGCTAAAAGCACTTATGTTACCCATCAGATGAGGCTAGTAACACTGAAAATCCCACCTTGCAATCACCATAATTGGTAGGCATCAAGCTGGAACCAACTCAACCCATCTGATTTACTTTCCAGTCTCCCTGATTTGTTCACCAGTCTTTCTAAAGAGGAGAATGTTTCGCAAAGCTGGTGACGCTTAACTTCCTTATCTCTGAATCTTGATGCGGTACTGGCCCATCTCAGCAGTGGGATAGAAAATAGAGTTCGCAAACAGTCGTGGTCTCCTTTCCACCTCTTTACATGAAATTAATTTTCATCAGGAAAAAACATTATGCGTGCTCTGTAGGTGTGCTATGTGAGAAGTGGTCCTGGTGAGAAGGTGACGATGCATGCCTCCCTGGCATGTGTGCTGTTTTCTAGGGAGCTGTCTGGCTTGGTGATCATCTCTGCCTGGATGGGCCTATGCTGCAGCTCATCAGAGTAAGTTCTTCCACTCCTTTCTCAATCTGGACAAGTCCTTAAGGTTTGTGGAGTCAAGCAGCAGTGAACATGTTGACGCACAAATAAAAGCAGGGGTCCTTGGAGAGAAATCTGTCCTCTTTTTCCACGGGAAGCAAATCATAGTTGATTTGGCATCTCCTGACACCCCACCTGTTCATGATTGCCATGGTCTTCTCTGTGATCCAGTGGTTGTAGAGAGTGACTGGCCCAAGGGAAGGAAGGAAGGGCAAAGAAGATAGAAATGTGCAGGTACATATTAATGAACATTTGTTATAAAGCAACATTGATGTTTTGTGGGGTTGAAACATGCATAGAACAGAAAAAAATTCATGACGAGTAGCATATGAGTTAGGAGGGGAAGAAATGGAATTAGAGTGTTTCTGAAGGCACTCGATTGCTTTGGAGGGGGTGAAACTATTGATTTACAACTGGACTTTGGTAAGTCATGAGTTCATGTTATAATCCCTGGGGTGAACAGAAAATATGTAAGGCAGAGAGAGTCAGAGGAAAGACATAATACAAGTAGGACAAATGGAAAGCTGACGCTAAGACAAATTCAAACCCAAACACATCAGAAAGTATATTAAATGGAAACGGAACCCTGAAGAGCCCAAGATTTTCAAAGCATACAACTAGTATACAACTAGCGGTAAACTGCTTATAAAGCATAATCCTTAAATACATAGATACAGACCGAAGACTAAAGTATGGAAAAACTAAACAAGCACCAACCACAACTAGCTGAACTTCTGGGCCAAACACTCACCCTTATGTTCACATGTTTTATGTCCCAAACCCTTTATCAAATATTTTTCTAAGTATGTAAATGTATATGTGTCATAAATATTTATGCAAAATACATGTGTTATATATTTATATATTACATATTTAATTTATGAATATTTATTAATTTATATATTTATATATTTAATATTTAATATTTAATGTTATATATTTAAATATATATTATATATTTAAAGCTAAAGTAATGTTATGTATTATACCAGTTTTCATTTAACCTCATACCTATATTTCCTTTTAATGGTGATAAAGTCTGTAGTCTCAGGGACCTTACCATAATAATTAATTTGATTTATCACACAGTACGGAAACAATCTCAAAATATCAATAGGATTTCTAAAAATGGGGTTTTTTTCTTTGTCATTAGAGTAAATGCCATTAAGGGATATATACTGAAATGACTTGCAATAGTTAACTCTGTGTGTTATGCCACCAGAAGTGAAATGGCTAGGCTCATTTATTTCTAGGGATAATCTTTCTAAAAATACATTCATTATTTTAGAATTTTGTGAAATGTGTACAAAATTCTGAAGTCAAATCCATAAAACGAGATAGATTCAAATAAACCTAACTTGTAGTCACAAGAATACTGTCCTCCCTCCTACCCAGCAAAGTAATTTCCCTAACTTTTCTTCTAATACATATATATTTCATCTTTTCAATTTATCCTGGTATAATGGAATGAAGAAGAGATCCACTCTTACCATCTTTCATATAGCCAATAGTTCTCTCTCAACATCACTTCGTAAAGAGCGGGCTTACGATGCCAAAGGAAGACACTTCTTTAATAAAAAAAGGTACAGTTTATCAAGAAGAAATAACAAGTCAAAGTTTGTATTACCTAATAACATTCTTTAAAATATAAACAGAAATTGACAGAACAACAACAAAAAAGGTGAAAAATCCAAAGTATCTTGCAAGAATTGAACACACTTCTTTTAGTCACTAATGGGTCAAACAGACATAAGAATAAACCAATGAAGCTTCAGAATACTTAATCACAAAATAAGAAACCTGGCCTATGAACATATATTTACAACACCTGAACCATCAGAGGCAGAATCCCCATTCACTTACATGGTGCAAAGGTATAAAATAATGGCTTGTATATTAGGCCATGAAATAAGTCTGAACAAATTTCAAAAGGCTGGACCCCTACAGACTGTTCTATGATCGCAGTTCAGTTAAGCTAGAAATCATTAACTAAAGATAATGAGGCAATCACTATATTTTTGGAAGTTAGGAAATACACTTTTAAATAACATTTGATTCTAAGAAATAAATCACAATGGAAATTAGAAAATATTTTTGAGTTGAATAAGAACTCTAAATATCAAAATTTGTGGCTAATAAAATTTGGAATATGGCTAAAAATCATATTTGGGAAGGCCCAATGTGATGGTTCAATTGGCTAATCCTCCCCTTGCAAGTGCTGGGATCCCATATAGGACCCAGTTCGTGTCCCAGCTGCTCCACTTCCCATCCAGCTCCCTGTTTGTGGCCTGGGAAAACAACAGGGGATGGCCCAAAGCTTTGGGAAATTCCACCCACATAGGAGACCTGGAAAAGGCTCCTGGCTTCCGATCAGCTCAGTTCTGGCCATTGTGGCCACTTGCGGAGTGAACCAGCAGATGGAAGATCTTTGTTTCTCCCTCTCTCTGTAAATCTGCCTGTCCAATAAAAACGGATAAATCTTTTTTTTAAAAAAAATCACATTTGGGAAATTGGTCAACTTAAGAATATACAATGAAAAAGAAAAAAAGAAAAAGCAGAAAGACCAAAAATTAATGAGCTAAGCTTCCAAAAAGTTAGAAATTCCTTAGTTTAAAAAGTTAGGGAAATAGCAGTAAGCTAATACCCTGCCACAGGAGATTAAGAGGAGAAATAAAGGAGATTAAAGAAAAATAAAATTATAAGAGAATCCAATCACACAAAAAACACAGATTTTAAAAACTGTAAGATAGTATTATAGACAACTTAATGCCAATACATTTCAAACAGATTAACTGGGGCCCAGCATGGTGGCCTAGTGGCTAAAGTCCTCACCTTGAATGCACCAGGATCCCATATAGTCACCGGTTCTAATCCCGGCAGCTCCACTTCCCATCCAGCTCCCTGCTTGTGGCCTGGGAAAGCAGTCGAGGACAACCCAAGGCCTTGGGACCCTGCACCCATGTGGGAAACCTGGAGGAGGTTCCTGGTTCCCGGCTTCGGATCGGTGCAGTACCGGCCATTGCAGTCACTTGGGGAGTGAATCATCAGACGGAAGATCTTCCTCTCTGTCTCTCCTCCTCTCTGTGTATTTGACTTTGTAATAAAAATAAATAAATCTTAAAAAAAAAAACACAGATTAAGTACACAATCTTAGAAAAAACACAATGTACCAAAACTTGCACAGGAATAGTCTCGTAACTATTAAGGAAATTACGTCCATTTTTTAAGTTTTCTCTAAAGGGAAATTCTTAGTACAGCTGGAGAAGTCTAACATTTAAGGAAGAAATAATGATGACCTTGAGCCAAAAATGTAGAAACTGTCCAACTCACAAAGGAAAAACAAACATGAGAGTAAAACTTGGCAAGACACTTCAGCCGAAGGAAATTGCACAGCCATCTCACAACTACAGATGGAAAAACACTACTCAAACAGGTCAGATCCTGCCATGTCTAACCCAACCACCTAGGTGGGCTTATTACAGGAACACCAAGCTCACGAAGCATTCAAAAACCCGTCATTGTTTCCCATGTCAGCAAAGAAACAGAAAACCTTCTTTATTTCTTTTTATTAGAAAGTCAGATATACAGAGAGGAAGACAGAGAGGAAGATCTTCCGTCCGATGATCCACACCCCAGGTGGCCTCAACGGTCAGAGCTGAGCTGATCCGAAGCCAGGAGCCTCCTCTAGGTCTCCCACACAGGTACAGGGTCCCAAGGCTTTGGGCCGTCTTCGGCTGCTTTCTCAGGCCACAAGCAGGGAGCTGGATGGGAAGCAGGGCCCCTATGGGATCCTGGCGTGTATCACTAGGCCTTAGCCACTAAGCTGCCATACCAGGCCTCTGTTTATTATTTATTTATTTATTTAAAGTTCTTATAAAATAGGTGTAGGAAGGAACTAGCTACTAGACAGCATCAACAGTAAGGCATGATAGTGAATGGCAGACAGGTCCCTCTGATGCCAGAAATGAAATCAGAATTCCACACTGTTTTAGGCACTGTGCTGACCAGGCCATAATGAAGAGAAGGCAATTAAAAGGCCCAGAAGTTGAAAAGGAAGAAATAAAGTTTCCATTATTTGTGGATGGCCTGGCTGATTATGTAGAGGAATATTCAACATTATTAGAATTGATCATGAAGTTTGGCATGATTCCTGGATTCAGGATAGAAGAAAAAACAAACAAACAAACAAAAAAAGCCTGTATTCCAAACAGCAGCAACAGCAAGTGATTCAAGCAAGAAGGTGGCACGGATCAGAGCATCAAGTCAACCACTTAGGAATACAGTTAGCAGAGACTGCGAAATGCTGACGTAAAAAACACTGAGAAATTATGATTACAATTAGAAAATACCTTTGTAACTGGAGACACAAACATATTCTGGTGAAAGGATAAATGAGTGAAAACAGCAGAGTTGAGAAACAGATTCATGCATATGGTAGAACCTTGATGATTTGCGACAAAGATGGTTTTGCAGGGTAGCAAAGAATGGTGTCTTTTCAATAACTAGTGCCTGGAAAAACTGAGTAGCCATATGGGAAAAAAAAGTGAAATAGCCCCTACCTCACAACTTTCCTAAATCAGGTGGGCTGCGGATCTAATGTCAGATAAATAAATTAGAGATGGCAACTTAAGATCTTTAAAAACTTGAGGAAGCAAAATTTGGCAACATATGTTAACATCAGGATTTCTGTAAAAAATATATAAAGAATTCCTACAAAATAATGAGTTACATCTCAGAGCGGGTAGGAGTTTGTCACAGCGGCTCAATGCCGTCTGGGCTGCCTGCATCCCTTACTGAAAGCGCCTGAGTTTGAGTTCCAGCTCCACTTGTGTTCCAGCTTCCTGCTAATTTGCACCATGGGAGGCAGCAAGTAATGGCTGATCTCTGAGTCCCCTGCTCCTGGTAGAGACCCGGTTGATAGCTAGGACCTGTCCCAGCCCCAGCTATTAAGGATATTCAAAATGAGCCAGCAACTGAGAGACTTCTCTGTCCTGCTGGCCTCCATTCAATTTTTTTTTTAAATGTCAAAAAGATATTAAGACAGGTATAGTAACAAATATAAATACAACTGTGTTCATTGGAGTCAGCTTTTGCACATACACACACACAAGCTAAACTAAAATGTAATGACATTTTACCAACTCCATTTTGTTTCCAGGCAACCTATCCTTCTATTGAGTTATTATTTATATATGCTTTTTTTTCTTATTTCTAGGAATCCAGTTGGTGGAAGAATTCAGTTGGCTCTTGCCATTATAATTGTTCTTTTCCCATTTATCTCATGGATCTATGTGTACACAAACAAGGAGTTGCAGTCCTCATGGCCAAGTCACTGCAAGACAGCAATTTAAATGCAAAAGTCATCATTTAAAAAAAAATATTTTAGATTTCTTATAAACACAAGGGTAACAGGCCAGTCTCCCAGCTGTCTATTCCAGGCAATGTAAGCTAATACTAAGAGAAATGATTTTTTTTTTTTTTTACAAAGATGGGACAAGAAAATCCTCAGGAACTTTTTAAGGTAATGTGTGATGTCAGATTGGATGAGGCTGATAAGAGATGGGGTCCAACACTCTCTAGAAAGCTTTCTGAAGGGTATGATGTCAGAGAACAGTGGGAGAAACACTAAAGCAAATGTTAAGAGCCCATTCTAATTGAGTATCACCACTAGCCATGTGACTTGGACAAACAAAAATCCAGCCAGGTATCTCTTTAAAGATTGAAATCCTTACAGTAGGATTGCCATCAGAGCCCCTACTTATTCTGATGCAAGGATCCAGTTAGCAAATGGGAAAGCAATAGGGAGATGGAATGCCTGTGTAAGTCTGTACTTGACTAAAACATCAAGAGAGGGTCGTGGCCCTGAACTGGCACTGTGCCATGGCCTGAGTGAGCACTCGAGATGAGCTGCAAGGACAGGCGTGTCTTGGAAAGATGAGGAAGTTGGATAGAAGCCATCCATTTGGGACCAGGAGATAAGGAAAGAGAGTAGTAACTACATTCTGAGTGATGAGGCCAACATCTACGCATCTGAACTCTGAGAGTCACCCGAGGCAGGGGAGGGTTTGAAAGCTGCATCCTACAGCACAGCAAGCAGCCACTAGCCCCACGCTGCTACGGAGCACTTGAAATGAGGCTGGAGTCACTCAAAAAAAAATCTAGTTCTTCTCTCATGTTTACCTTCATTAAACACTGATTTTCACTTCATACAAAACTTGTGTTTGAAACAACTTGGTTATGTCAATCTGCTTTTGCTGCTACAGATTTCAACTTATCTAAGTCTGTATTTCCAATGAAAATTCAGTGTTCACATGAGTGGGCTATGAGTGTAAAACACCCACTTACACGTTTGTCAGTGTGCAAAATGAATATAAAGTTTTTCATGATGTCAAAAGAATAATTTGGTTAAATATACTATTAAAATTTGCATGTTTCAATTCACTTTTTACACGTGTCTGCTGGAATACTTTGCATCTCATCCTGCATTTCATTTCCGATGGAGTTATTTCTGCTCATGTAGATGGCAGTTACAATTACAGATTTTAATTATACTTTATATATTATTGTACTTTTTTTTTAAGATTTATTTTTTGTTGCAAAGTCAGATATACAGAGAGGAGGAAGAGAGACAGATGATTCACTCCCCAAGTGACTGCAATGGCCAGTGCTGTGCCAATCTGAAGCCACGAGCCAGGAATTTCTTCCAGGTCTCCCACGCGGGTGCAGGGTCCCAAGGCTTTGGGCCATCCTCGACTGCTTTCCCAGGCCACAAGCAGGGAGCTGGATGGGAAGTGGAGCTGCCGGGATTAGAACTGTTGACCATATGGGATCCTGGCGCACTCAAAGTGAGGACTTTAGCCACTAGGCTACTGTGCCGGGCCCTATTATTGTATTTATTAAAGGAGGCATGGTTTTGATTCTTTGTTTTTGACACAGTGGCCAATGAACAGAAATTTTCTAGCAAGATCTGGATAAAGAAAAAGAGGGGAAATAACTAGTTGGTATTATAACACCTATAGTAAAATGTAGAGGCCAACTCACATTGGGGACCTGGGATGGGAGGAAGGCTGGGTAGGGCTTTTCCCTTTATTTCTCCCCTGACCTCAGATACAGGGGGAAAAATGATATTAGTGTTAAAACAATGATATTACCCACTTTCCTGTAGCCCTTGATCCTTTGTACCCTAAGTAAGATTATCAAAACAATAAAAAAAAAAAATTAGAGGCCAATAAAATACATGTAAAGGCTTTGTTTAATGTGTGGCTTCTCCTCTTAAAGTCACACAAAGAGATAGGCACATTAGCACATTTAACCTCAGCCCGTCCTCCCAGGCTTGCTTCATTCTGAGGCCGAGACAGTCATGTCTAAGATATGCATGCATAGGATGTGCTTGTCCCCTGTCAGAGAATCCTGTGAATATTCACGTTCTGCATCCCCGGCTAGGCATGTAAAAGGCACTAACCTTTGGTGGAGTACTGTCTTTTAAACTCGGCTTTCCAACTTGAGCAGTGTAGTAAGCCGTAATGTCTAACTCCCCCCGCCCCGCCAATCTGCCTTCCTCACGGCACAACCTTTTCTGCCTCCATTGATCCTCTTCTACATCCCACCCCTCACTGTCCAGTCACACACACCTGCTCACCTGATGGGAGCTCCCGACTCACGTCTCAAGCATTCTAACATACTCGTCCCCTTCTCTCCTCTATTTCTTGCCAGACCTCCAGCACCCTGGTGAATCCTGGTAGCATTGCCTGGTGTACTGTTAGAACATCCTTTGATGCCTCTGCTTGAGCCATTCTACCTCAATGCTCTTGTTCATTGATTCAACTGGCGTTCCTTTTTCATGTTATCTCTAACCACGTCTTACAAAATTCAACTCCTCTGCGGATCCCCACAGAGCTTGTGGTTGCACATTCTGCCTTCTATGTCTGTCTGTCTCATGGTAAGGTATGAATGCTGGAGCATGTTCCTGGTCACCTCCACAGACAGCCAGGTCCTAATCCTTGGAACCTGTGTGGCACTTAGATGGCGAGGCATGCTACAGACATGATGAAGGATCCAAGATGGGGAAACCATCTGGATAACCCAGGTGGGCCCTACATGTCATTACAAATGTCTTCATCAAATGAAAATGGATGTTTGATGACGTGAAAGTGACAACAAGTCTCAAACACTGAGAATGCTAAGGATGCTGGCCACGAACCGAGGCAAACTCAAGTGCAGCTAGGAACAGTAAGGAAAAGGAGTCCTTCCGGCACCTTGGTTTCTGCCAAGTAAAAATGACCTCAGGCCCCCAGCACCACTGAGAACAAATGCATGCTGTTGTAAGCCACTGACTTCATGATAATTCATTACAGCAGCCTTAGTCACTGCACTTTTATATCCCTGTAGGGCCTAGGGATTCAACAGGCACACTTAGACTAGTATTTTTGTTTCTTAGGCTTTGACTGGAGAATGCCCCATTTGCCATCGAGTGCTCCTCCAGTTGGGTCTAGGTATACACAGTAACTGAGGTAAACACATCTCATTTGCCTATCAGGGCCTCTTGGAGCATTGGCTGATGCCCGTCCCCAGAGCAAGCTAGCAGCTATATATCTGTGTGTGCTCTGGTTAGACTCACAAGAGGACCGCGTGACTTCTCGGGCCCCCTTCTGATACAGAGACTCACACTTATGCGCAACCGTGGATGGCTTCTTGTTTACAAAGTAGGAATACAATGTGGTAACAGTCCAAGACTCATTCACATACTAGGGTAAATAATTAAGTTATCTGAGGGTTTTTGTTTTTTTTTTTCAAATTTTAACTTAACCCAAGATACGTTATTCAATAGAAACGAAACAAAAACTTCAGGGATGGCTAAGCTTGCGAAGACCCTATGCCCGACCCCAGACCCCTCCCTGGTTTCTTTTGTTTCTAACCTTCAACATTGGATATATTATCCAAAATGCACATTAAAACCATGAACACATCTTGTTTTACAAGCAGAGCACTGAACAACAGGGTTGATCATTTTTATTTCTGCTTTCCCTCGTGTTGGGGGAGTAACCACACAGCAGTCATTCTCCTTCTAGCATGGTGAATGAAATGGACAGGGCTAAAAGATTAAAGCTTTCTGCTGGTTGTAATTCAGAACTCTGTCTGGGACTCTGCCCCGCCCTTTCAACATCATTTTGTCGGGATACACATAGACGGTGCCGAACGCTCGGCTGTCGGGAGCCGTCTCGATAACGCCCTCCAGGTTGACGTGGTGCACGCCACAGGGGTCCCTGGCGTAGCCACCGTCATGAGTGTGACCGGCAAAGAAACACACTACACACTGGTGGGACCAGATAACTCTCAGAGCATCTCTGTAGTTCCAGGCCAGGCACACGCTGTCTGAGGCCTCTGGGTAAATGGGAAGATGGCCTGTGAGCGAAAAAAAAAGACTTGTCAGGCAACAAAGAAATAGCTCTTCCTTCCATGTAATTGCTAAAAGCTAGAGCAGAGGGAAAAAAAAAAAAAAAAATATATATATATATATATATACATACATGTGTGTCTTCATACCTCACCATCCCAATGAATGAGAGCACAGAGAATCAACGATACAGGAAGGATTCCATTCATGGCTCCGCACAGAAAGATGGCTAAGAGAGTTCACATGTGAGGTGGGAGAGGGAAAACTCCGAAATCTCTGAGACCTAGTGAGTCTCAGGTCGCACAGACACCACACAGATCAAGGGCAAGCGCTGCGGGGCAGTCTGCCAAGGTGGTCAGAAACCAGGTGGATGCTCTGCTGGGATGCAAGTTCACTGACCTCCTTAAAAAGGAATGTTACACCTAGAGCAAGACGCAAGACTAAATCAAAGAACAGTTCAGGGACAGGCCATGGGTTATGTATTATTTCCACAAACACTCAATGCCTTAGAACTGATACGTGGGACTTTAAACATGCTCATGAGATCAAAGTGGCCATATGCACTTGACAGGTGAGAAAGCTGACAGAAGCGGGGAAGGACCTGACTGGTCCCATGGGCATCATGTGCAAGCAGAGCCAGGAGCATTTTGATGCCAATGTAGCAAAGAGCTCATTCCATCCATCAGGCCACAGAGTTTACTCTGATGTCCTGGCACCAGAGCTCATGGCTCTTTGTTCTTTCCCAACAAGTCACTCTTTCTCCAATTATTCTTCATGTTTATTCTGGAACGTAAACACACCTCTGCCTAATACCTGTTTTAATATGTTACGAGACTTTAAAGGAAAAAAAGAGGTAGGAGGTTAACAGATCCCTAAAGCACAAAAGGAATGTATGTTTTTTCTTTCTTCTCTCTCTCTCTCTCTCTCACACACACACACACACACACACGCACACACACCCTTCAAGCTGTGATAAGGGATACATCTGAGAGCATTAGGTTGTAAAACACCTGCCAAGTCCCTGAGGTGTCTGACCCCATTGGTTCCTCCCTTCTGGAAGGACGCCCCGCTTCCTGGGTGGTATGTGGTTCGTTTTCCTCCAATCTCAAGGGCCGTCAGTTGTCAGTCTCCTTCTCTGGCTTCTCACTTCCCTGACATCACGTGACCGCAAGCCTCTGTGACCTTGGACTTCGCTAACCACACCTATGGCCCTGGAGATCAGAATGATTTTACCCATTTTCGCTATTCTTCCAACTTCCACGCCCACACATCCTGCCCAGGCCTCTGAACAGCCCACTCAACATCCCTGTTAATGTCTGACACCCCGAGCCATGGCCCTCTACACAAGCCCAGGTATCCTGCAGCCTCTGCTGCAGCAGCTGGTCAGCCAGCCACAGGGCCAAAGCTCAGAGTACACTATACGACGCAGGAGTAGCCATAGTGGAAGTTAAAAGCAGACTAAAAAATAACCAAAAACTGTTTCTTTTCCACTTTAATGGTCTACTAAGGAAAGCCTGAGGCACACAAAGATCAGATTCTCTAGTTTCCAAACTTACAGCAAAAGGCAGAAAAAAAAAGTTCCAGAGGTTATCGAAGAACACGGGTGTAGTTCCATCAGCAAAAGGAAATGGCAGGAACACAGCAGAGTAGAGACTGGGATATAAACACAGATTGCAGCCTCGATTTTGTCATTCTCTATCTTTCAAATTAAAAGAGGTGGCTGGATAATTTCTACAAGCCTTTTGGTTCCAGTGCTCTCCAAGAGCTACGGGCTGACAGTGGAAAACTAAGAAGCCGACATTCACCAAGCACTGATGCAAAATCTGATGTGTCACTTCCAATAACAGTAACTCCGGAGGGCACCTTAACCTTCCCAAGTGACAGCTGGCCAATGGAAGACTAGCCAATATAAACTATGCTTATAGATGGGAATATAATTTTCCACATCAGACTACTAGTTTCAAAAAATTTTCCCATCTATAATTTCATCTGATAGAAAGTGACACTTCCGCGTTCCAGATTCTGTGCTGGGCCGCGGGACTAAAAGAAACCTAAGCCAGGTGGCAGCTCTCCCAGTCTCATCTATTGTGCCACACTGATTCTCACACAAGGGCTGGATCTCAGTCCCCAAACCAAGTCCAACAGCCATACATGGCAGATCCAAACTCGGTTCATCCTCTGTGCGTGGGCACACGAGTGCACACAGGTGTTTTACGTACCTCTACATTGCTCTAACCTCAGATGGCGATGCAGGCATGAACAATGACACTAAGTGGAAATGACATGAATCTAATATCCTCGTATGGCTGACTCAGAGAGCCGAACATGCCCACTGCCAGCTGCAGCTGCAACCCCCCAGCCCCTGATCACACCAGCTTTGCTTCGCCTGGGCAGCAGTCACCGCTAGTGGCCACTTCTCTGACAGGGTACTCCTCAACCTGAGAGTGGGACTGAACTTCTTCTCCAAAATCTGCCACAGAGGAGCAGGTGTTTGGCTTTGCAGTTAAGAGGCCAGCGAGGCAGTCCAGGTTGAAGGGAGCCTTCCTTCAACTCCCAAGCCACCAGCTTTTGGCTGTGAGGCAGCAGATGGGGGCTCTGCCTGTTAGTGCAAGCATGGAGCCCATTTATGGAATGGGTCTACCTCGGAAATAAGCCAACAAGTCACAAGCCTAACATGTGAAGAAGTTTCTGTGTATTATAAAATTCTTTCCCGACTCACACTAAAGCATCAATGTTATATTCAAGTATTCCCCCCCACCACCAAAATTAAAAATATCACATTTGAAGTTAAGCATCTGTTTTGTACAGGGAAGGTTGCTAGGAAGCTTTCAGTCTACAACGCTAGTGTACATCAACAGAAACGTGTCGAATACTTACTCACAAGCACCACTTTTTCCTGGTTCGTGTCAGAGAAGGTGAGCACTTCGTTGAGCCAGTCCAGCTGTTCTCGACTGAATCCTCCATTAAACTGCACGAACTGGGGCTCAGAAAGTCCTGAATGAATGCAGCAAGTTAGATCCATTAAATGTCTTGTCCCGCCCACTCCTTAGGGCATTCAAATTTCACTAATAGGATACTTATTCTTCCCTTTGGGAGGATGTGATGAGCAGCAATCAACTTGAACTAGAGAACAATGAATAGATCAGTGATTCACACCGTGTCTGACTCCTGGATGTGACATTCATCTGTTAAGTTACTGGTTCTCTGACACTAAAATCACATTCCATCCCACGCCCACTGAGCAGCCAGCCACACATTCTCATACCTGTCTACTCCCCTGTATCATCTTCTACCCCGCCGGCCTTCCTTGGGTTCAAGAATGCCAGCGCTCTGTGCCACCTGACTGGCACCTTAGCCATCCGTTCTTCCCACCCACCTGCTAATCGCCAGCCTCTATTCTCCCCAAGGAGTCCCCTGGTCTCCCTTAAGCAACTTCTCCCTGAAGAAGTTTGCTCTGATCCCCTGGTCTGTTTCTGCAACATTCCATAGCATCAGCCTCTACTTTCCTGCATTAACTGCTACAGAAATTATTTTCATTTCTCTTTCCCTCATCTATCCTGCCCAAGTAACTTCTTTTGGTCCTTTATTCCATTCACTAAAATAAAGTGCCACTGTCAGCTAGGTTAACAGCTCTGCGCGGAGCCCCATGGAACATGCCCAGCCCAGAACAGGCATTCAAGGATCGGTTTAATAAATGCATCCTGAGACAACTATCACCAAGCTATGTGACATCAGGCTTGTGACAAAGTCTGACCCTGAGTAACAGCAATGGTATACTTTTACCTTAATCGTCCATCTTCCTGCTGAATAAAAGGTAGCTGAAGAATTTAAACACAATGTATTAGATTCTCAGCTCAAAGGAATAATTCACCTTGGGGGCTATTCAATTCCGCATTGGGATTGTGGTCCTGCAGCATCTTCATACTCTGCTGGTATTTCGGGGAAGACTGGTCCACGCCCAGGATGCTTAGGTCATAAGAATCAAGTAAAATGAATCGGAATTTAGGGAATGGTGCAAAATGATATGCATAGTAATCCTCCGATGGTACAGTCTTGGGATGGTGTGCAATGTGATCTTCGAGAAACTTTGAGTTGAGTTTTGAGTGTGTCAGAAAGTCTCTACTGAAGTTGTAGAATTCATGATTTCCCCATGTGTGATGCACTGGGACTTTCAGGGTTTCAAATATGTTCATGACAAGTTCCAGGGACTTCTCGGATGTTCTGTACTGTGCGTTGTAGCCATCGATGACATCTCCAAGCTGAAGGACGCAGGAAGGGCTGACGTGTTCATTATTCCACTCTTGAATGGCGTCCTGTAGATGAAGAAGGCTCTGCCTGTAGTACCGCCGCCTGTTTCCCTGGAAGTTATAGCCGTCTTCCAAGTTAGCGTACTGAATATCTGCTATGACTCCGAAGGAGAAGAGATAGTCGGAACATTCATCCAGAGCTCCAGGATTCGCCTTATTATCCATATCTCCAAATCGGTTCCTAAATAAAGCAAATAAATAAATAAATAATCCAACTTATAAATATCTTAGTTTTTGAAGTAATTTCTTAGAAAAAAAAATTATCTATTTCTTTGAAAGGAAGAGCTACACAGAGAGAGAAACACAAAGACTGATCCTCCATCTGCTAGTTCACCCTCCAAACGGCCACAACAGCCAGGCTGGACCAGGCTGAGACCAGGAGTCAGGAGCTTCTTCTGGATCTCCCAGGGGCCCAAGCGCTTCAGCCATCCTCCGCTGCTTTCCCAGTTGAGTTACCAGGGAACTGGATGCAAAGTGGAGCAGCTGAGACTTGAACTGATGCCCATGTGGAATGCCAGGGTTGCAGGCAGCAGCTTAACCAGCTACCCCACGATGAAGGTCTCTTAATTTTATACGAAGAAAATAATAAAAACACAAAGTTTAACTTAGCAGTGAGTTCACTGAAAAGGTTAGGATAGAAAAAAAGCGAACATATGGTCGTAAGATATTAAAATTCTGGTAACATCAAGCTCAATATAAAATAATTTCTCATTTTTAAGAAATTCATACTTATTTTAAGTACCCACACATATCCTCTCCTAGAAACATCAAATAGTTTTATCAGAATCCAATAGTTTTTTTTCTCTCTTTTTTTTGGTCAGTAACGCATCACTCTTGTTTCTGATTTCCACTGTGGATCTTTTCTTTTTCAGTGGGGACATCACCTGCAATGTTTCTCACAGTTCCTATCTGCAGTGACAGGGGAGGCAGTCAAGATACAAACAGAAATCATGTTAAACAAACCAAAAAACTCACTCAATTCAAAAACTACTCACTGACATGTTTATGATATCTATGAGCAGTGACTGTTAACACTTGGATTCTAATTTGAACCAGGTTCTGTTTAAAAAAAAAAAAAAAATTAACTCCTTCTCCCTCAACCAAAACAGAAAATGTCATCTCCTTGTTGGACTCAAAGTCTCCGCATTCTCTGTCGCTAAGGGCTTTAAACTAGAAAAATATATTATGAGATTACTTATAATCTAAATTTATGAGTTCTTGAAAGCTCCAACAGCATGAACATTTACAACTAAACCCAAAGGTCAGGATTCTAAATGACATCTATCTTTGTTACAAATTTTACAGTAATAAATTATTACTCTGGTATCTGAATCTATTAAAACCTAGCTGTTTCTGAAGACTGCATTTAATTTTCCCACACTGCTTTCAGACTCCGGGTTGCTGATGAGGTGCCCACTCCTTCCACAGAGCTGCCATGTAACCCTCTGCAGACACATGAGCCTCTCTCCCCACCGCACCTCTATATGTAGGGGAGAGGGTTTGCAAAGGAGAGGACGTGATTTCAACAAACCTAAAACTAAATCCAGAGAACTCATCTAAGATTATAACAGAAGCAAAAACTCATCCACAGCAGCTCAAACTCTCTAATTTTGTCAAGTTCCAAATATTTGCAATTGCAAGCGTAAAAAGACTAAGAATCAAATCAGAAGACAATTTGGCAAGCACATCACATGCACATTATTACTGACGCTAAGAGAAAACTATTTCTGAGCCTGCTCTCATCCTCTGCCAAACAAGCTGGTTTATTTTTCATCTCTAGACACGGAGCCTCTTGGGTGGTAAGATGTACCACAGACCCCCAAGGGGCGGATTCAGTCCCAGTTAATTTGATCTTCTCTCCGGTACACAGCTGTTATTTTTGCCCAGCCAGCTTTCATTTCCTGTTCTTTGGGTAAACAGCATCCCAATTTTCCTTTAGGCATCTACCCAATTCCCTACTCTCGGTTCCCGTGGATAAGCAGACAGGAGATGGCAGGCTGACCTCGCAAAGCCCTATTTCTTCCCAGCCAGGTAAGGGTAGGCTTGTAACCCTAGCCCCAGCAATAGGAGACAGTTGTAACCCCAGCCCCAGCCATAGGAGACAGTTGTAACCCCAGCCCCAGCCATAGGAGACAGTTGTAACCCCAGCCCCAGCCATAGGGGACAGCTGCCTGCAACAAAAGCCAACGTGCGGCAACTGGCAAGCTGAAAACAAACACCTAAAAATGATCTAAAGAAGTAAGGAGGAGAATAGTAGTAAGTTTTCAATAAACTTTGTCCTGAAAGTTGTGCCTGCAACCATTAAAACGTGCTGGGTCATCTGTGTTGTAACTGAAGAGTTACTATGACAAACTCCTAAGAACTTGGAGATTCAAGGCCTAGACTGATTTAAAGTCCCACCTTTTCCCAGGGAAAAATAACACTAGGTATTAACATTAGAAAATTTAGAAAAGTATTAAAATATTATATTAATAGTTAATATATTAATATAAAATATCACTTTATTATAAAATTAGAAAAGCTATTATATTAGAAAAACATTAGGTGATTTGAGCCAACTTGAGTTCTAACACACAGCCAACTTCTTTGCAAACTGAAGTCACAAAGCACTATGTGCATGTTAAGAAATTCACTTCCAACTTAGTGATGTGAAAATACATGTGTCTGCCGAGTCTCCAGATAACTGAAATGACAGGAACTTTTTTTTTTTTTAACAGAACAGCATAATGTGGAAAAATCCTCCAATCTTTCCTCTCAAAATGCCTACACAACCTCACGGTAAATCCACACAATCTCAGGATAAATAGTCAGAACTTCGTGAAAACCTGCTTAGGCATAAGAGGTTTTTCACGGAAGAAAAAAATTACATATATATGTATCTATACTTGTATATATATGTATATACATATATGTATTTATATATACATACACATGGTGCTTCGGTAGTGTTTAAGCAGTACTGGCAGAAGGCTCAAGTTCCCCGTGGAATGCCCTTGGCCGTCTGATGAGCAGAAGGCTGCCCCAGACAGGAAAGCACGCTTCCTGCAAACTGTGGTTCAAACGGGACGGCAGTGGGGACGCAGTGCCGCCTGCACACCAGTAAAGCTTCTGTCTTGACAGACAGTGGTCCCAGCAGCTCAGAGCCAGCATCCAAAGTGTCTCAGGAAGGCGGTATGTGAGCAACATGGTATAAGCAGAGAACATGCTAGAGAAAAACAACTTGAAGGCGACAGGAAAGGCTTGAGAGGAAGGAGTGGAAACGGAGGCAGCAAAATTGTCACAGTGCCAGGAGGTTCTGAAACAGCCTAGCCGCCCTGGAGACTGGCCTTCGGCTAGGTCAGACACAAAAGCTCATCAGCCTTGTCACTGCTGACAGAATAGGTATCACAGGACGGTGTCCACCTCCTGTCTATCTCAAGGAAAGAAACCTAAACTGGACAAAAGGAAGGGAGGGATGGGGGGTGGGGGGGGAAGGAATGAAGAAAACACTCATTTGATGACTTCGGAGGTTTAAGAGTAGCAACAAGGGCCAATGCAATGGCTCATAATCCTCCACCTGCAAGCAACAGGATCCCATATGGGCGCCGGTTCACATCCCAGCTGCTCCACTTCCCATCCAGCTCCCTGTTTGTGGCCTGGGAAAGTAGCCGAGGATGGCTCAAAGTCATGGGACCTTGCACCCACATGGGAGACCCAGAACAAGCTCCTGGCTTTGGATCAGCTGTGGCTGTTGTGGCCATTTGGGGAGTGAACCAGCACAGAGAAGTTCTTCGCTTCTCCCCTTCTCTCTGTAAAATCCGTCTTTCCAATATAAAAAAAATAAAATAAATAAATATTGAAAAAAATAGAGTGGCAATAATAGTGCTAGTTTTATGCTGGGCAGCACATAAAAGCAACTTACAATGACAACATTTCAAATGGTAGATGAAATCAGGCTTAGAATATTATCAGCAATTTATCTGACATATAAAATATCCACTTGGAGCCAGGAGCTGTTTTAGAGACAACTAATCCATTTCATGTCATAGGGGCCTAATACGAAAACTTTACAAAGAGCTTTGGTAGACACGTGAATCTATAGTGACTCTGTAGATAGGAGTATGTGCACACTCTCCAATTAAAATACACGTAACATATATATTTATATATATACAATATTTAAAACAAGGAATCATTTTGCTGAATAAAACTGAACAACCAGCTGAAACCATCAAACATTTTCATCGATGTGACATACTAGATCGGTTGACCTACAGCCGAGGGCAATTAAAGTGCTGAATGCTGACTTGGCGCGCCCATTCGTATGAATAAGCAGAAGCGCCTTTTGTTATCTTTGGGTCCACCAAAACTCACTCCACCAACATACTTCACATTTCGAAGTTCAAGAGGGCAGAGGAGACAACGAAAACACGGTCCAGAACCGGGGACCCCAGGAAATAAAATATAAAGGCGAAAAAAAAAAAAGCAGGAGGGTGGGGATGAGATGGGACACAAGTCGGTATCATGCTATGCTTTAGAATAGGGTTATTTTATAAAGCGATTCGAATCAAGAGAAACAAGGGCATTCAGGCCATCCTTAACCTGCCTGTGCCACTCTGGCCACTGATGGGTATGCTTCTCTTCTGGGGAAGGAGAGGAGAGGGTGAAGGGTCAATAATCTTGCAGTTCCCAGATGACAGTGACTGGACAAAAAGAGGGGGCAGGGAAGTGTCCAGTCCAGTCTGTCCAACCTGGGAAAGTCACAGACATCCCAGGCCAACTCCAGGACTCCAGGCCTCTGACACAGCTGCACAGCTGGGACCCCCTCAGTTCCCCCAGATGCCCAGTGAGCTGGGATACCCCTTGACCCAGAGATGCCCAGTGAGCTGGGATCCACCTTGACCCCCGAATGCCCAGTGAGTTGGGATGCCCACTGCCCCACAGATGCCCAGTAAGCTGGGATACCCCTTGACCCAGAGATGCCCAGTGAGTTGGGATACCCCTCTGACCCACAGATGCCCAGTGAGCTGGGATCCTCCCTCACCCCCTCCCCCTAGACGCCCAGTAAGCTGAGATTCTCCCCATTGACCCACAGATGCCCAGTGAGCTGAGATCCACCTTGACCCCCGAATGCCCAGTGAGTTGGGATGCCCACTGCCCCACAGATGCCTAGTGAGCTAAGATCCCCCTTGACCCACAGATGCCCAGTGAGCTGGGATTCTCCCATTGGCCCCCCGGATGCCCAGTGAGCTGAGATCTGCCCTCAGTCCCCCTAGATGCCCAGTGAGCTGAGATTTCCCCTCCATTGGCCCCCCGGATGCCCAGTGAGCTGAGATTTCCCCCCCATTGGCCCCCTAGATGCCCAGTGAGCTGAGATTTCCCCCACTGGCCCCCTGGATGCCCAGTGAGCTGAGATCCGCCCTCAGCCCCCCAGTTGCCCAGTGAGCCCTTGCGCGTCTCGCGGTAACCACCCAGGACATGCGGGACCCACCTCCAGACGCCAAGAACCCCTGAGCACACGCCGGCTCCTCAGCTTTGGATGCTGGTGGCCCCAGGCCGACGCGGCACGGCCATCGAGCGGAGAGGCCAGCGCATCCCCGGCCGGGCCGCTTCCGGGGAGGAAGCGGAAACGCCGACGGGGAGCCAGGGGGCGGATCAGAGGAGGCGCGTTCCCGGAGCTCATGGCGGGGTTTCCTCTCCGAGCCGGTGCGCTCCTCTGGGCTCCGGCGGCCGGGCTCCTGCGGCGTTCGTGGCCCCGAGGCCTCGGGCTTGGGGTCCCGCCGGCCGGGGCCGTGGGAGTCGTGCGGCGGCAGCTGTGCGCGTGGCCTGAAGAGACATGGCGGGCCTCGGGGCCGGCGCGAGGCTGTTCGAGAAGCCGGGCCTTCGGCACGGCCATGCCGCCACCGCCGGGGTCGTCGGGGCCCGAGGCCAGAGGCCGCCAGGACCCCTCACGGCCGTCGCAGCCTGGGGTGAGTGCCTGGCGGGAGTCCTCCCCGCTCCCCGCGCGCCTGGGTCTCTCTCGGTCGTCACCCCCGAACTTCCCGGGTCTTGTCCCGGGGCTGTCACCCGGCGTGACCTGGGTGACCCTGTCAACCCCCTGGGTCTCGTCTGGACCTGCACGGTCTCCGCGACGTTTCTGCTCCTTGAGCCGAGCTTCTGCATCGTCCCTCCCCGGAGTATGCGATAGCATCTCTCTCAGGGTCCAATTCTAGCCCCCAAAATAACTTTTACTAAGTTATGGAGGGGAAAAAATGGATTTTTCATTGCTGGGTTTGTAGGGGTGTCGCAGGGATTGATGAATTGGGCCCCAGTGGACGATTGTAAACTTATTCTCAGGCTAAAAAGGAACACAAAGAAGTGGATGCAATTGGTCAGAAGCCACGCTCTAGAAATTTCTACCATGGCATAGTAAAGAGTCTTGTTTTGTTTTTGTGTTTTTTTGGCGGGGGAGGGGGGATGCTTTTTCACGTGGATGGAAACAGACTAGACAGCTCCCCAGTCCAAATCAATGGATGCTTTTATTGTTCTTCATTGGGTCCAAACTTAACTGCAAGATTTATTTGCTTTTATGTGAAAGACACATTAGAGAAGGAAAGACAGGGAGATCCTTCAGCTGCTGGTTCACTCCCCACATGGTCACCATGGCCAGTGCTGAGCCACAGATCGTGATCTTCCTGGTCTCCCACGTGGGTGCAGGGGCCCAAGGCCTTGAGCCATCATCCTCCAGTGCCTTCCTGGGTCGTAAGCAGGGGGCCAGATGAAAAGCCGAACAGCCAGGACATGGGCCAGTGGTCACAGGACACGGTGCCACTCGGCAGGAGGGTTAGCCGGCTAGTAGTCTCTGTGCCGGCCTCAGAAACAGCATTTTCTTACTCCAGAGTGGCCATGTGGAACAAGATCAGAGCTTATGTATGTGTGTGTTATTACAAACTGCCGTAGTGAGTCTAGCCTGGCGTGTCCCTGAATTGTTTTCCGCTCTGTCTGCCCCAGTAGCCTGTGTCCTGGAAGTCTCTGGCGGTCACGTTTGCTATCGGCGGAGCGCTGCTGGCGGGGATGAAGTACTTCAAGAGGGAGAAGACTGAGAGTGAGTACCTCCCATGCAGGCAGTGCCGCAGAAAACCCCTGTTGTTGTATACATTAAAACTGTGGTCGGAGAAGGATCGCAGGGGTGCCGGGTACCTTTCATCACCCTCTTACATAAACGTGGCACATCTCTCAAAATGAGAAATTAAAAAATGGACACGGAGGTATTATTGAAACGCGAGAGTTTTTCTGGATTTGACCTTGGGTCTTCTCTGTGCCAGGACCCAGTTTAGGATAGCTCTATCCGGAAGAGCTGTCATGGACTAGATGGGGCGAGTATGCGGTCTGGACGAGCCAGAGATGACTGCGAGGCAGCGTAGCCCTGAGATACACCTGGCAGTCAGGGGCATCAGGTGTTTTCGCCATGTGGGGTTCTGCTGTCCTTCACAGTAAAAGGACCCCACACCACTCCTTGTACTCGGTCCTTTAGCCTCCTGTGAAAATGTCTCAGTCTTCAGTTGGCTTCTTGACAGCTAGGCAACTTACAGGCTCACTGTTTTGTGAGCCCTCTCTGAGTTCGGGTTTGCGGGATGTTTGTTCAGGTAGATCCAGGTCACGCACCGTCGGCGGGGACAACATGGGCGGGCTCAGCTGGGACACCGTGTTCTCATTGCATCTCCTCAGACCATCCCTGGTTTTTCATCAGGCTGTTCCTAATCCCGTTGGTATTGTTTAGTTAAGAAGTTGTTTCTCCGGCTTCCTCACTGAAAGCCTCACTCTTCTGTAAATGGGTGTTTTGTGATGTGGGTTTGTGTGTGTGCGCGTGCGTGCGCTGTTTGCTGTCTGACCAAATGTGTTCCTCGCTGTCAGCTGGGATTCATGGTTTCCCATCAGTGCACTGAGCTGTGATCTCCTGCCTTTGGTGTTTCGGTGCTCGGAGTTGGCCCAAGTAGTCAGCAGGTGCCGCTCCCAGCAAGCGTCTGTGTCATCCATTGTTTCCAATGTTCCAGGCTCCCCTCACACTTAACGCCTGATAGAATCCATTTCTCCGAAACGCGGTTTCCCATTTAGTCAGAGGCTGGTCAGGGCTCACTGCTGACAGGTCCTCTCAGTGCACAGAGTGAGGCGACAGGTGCCTATGTTGCTGTCCCTGTCAGATGTACCCGTCCGGGTCTGCGCACCGTGAGCCCATAGCGGTACCTCTGGTTCCTCCCCAGCCTGCGACCCCGTCTCATCTTCCTTTCCCCTAGTTCTGTGTGTCTCTTGTCTGTAGTGTGTCTGTGTCGTCAGCCCCCTCTGTGTAATGAAGGCCCCATCGTGGTAGCCCCCTCCCTTCAGAGCCACCCGCCCGGCACCCTTGGCCTCAAGCTCCTGTGCCAGGCTGCGCCTCAGTACCTAATTCGAGTCTAGGCTCACCAGCAGTGTGGCTTCACCCAGTGGCTTAGGACTGTGTTGTTCTGGAAGAGGAAGAATGATCTTACTACATTCTTGCAGTGCTTACTGTGCACTGCAGGGTTTGAAATCATTTCGTTGTCCCGGGCTTTTTTCTTTTGGTAAAGATGTCGTTTTTTGAAAATTGAAACAGAGTGTTCATTCTGTGCTTCCTGCGGTTATTTAATGCTTAGCAGCTATGGGGTATTTGAATATACTGTTTTTTCTTTCTTGTGTGTGCTTAAGAGCTGGAGAAGGAACGGCAGCGAAGCCTCGGAAAGCCCCTGCTTGGGGGGCCGTTCTCCCTCATAACTCACACTGGGGAGCCCAAAACGGACAAGGACTACCTGGGCCAGTGGGTGCTCATCTACTTCGGTTTCACTCATTGTCCTGACGTCTGTCCAGAAGAACTGGAAAAAATGATGCAAGTCGTGGACGAGATCGGTGAGAAAGCCCTCACTAACCCACCGCGCGTGTGCTTCCTTGATGCTGCTCCCTTCGTTGGCTGGTTTGTAGGAAATTCTGCATTTAGCCTGTTTGGGACTTTGATGGCTGTGACCTTATTTTCTGAGGGAAGCTAGTTTTGTCGCTGAGTGTTAAGTATCAGTGTGGCCAGTGTCATCGTGAGCCCCTTTGCTGTGGCCTTCCCTGTGGCCTCTTAGCTGAGTGTAGGAATTCTGGAAAGGTCTGCATGTGGTATTGTTAGTCCCAGCTAGAAGGAAGGCTGCCACCTTGAGTGAATTGTTTCAAGTGATTTTGTGTTCATTTATAGTTTCCCTTGCTCGTAACGAAAGATGGGGGGAAATAAAGAACTATAGTGGATTGGACACAAAGGTAAGAGAGCCTTGTGCTGTGACCCAAGACAACGTCTGTGCATCAGCAGGTGTAGGATAGGTGGTACATGGGTCCCTTCTAGGGGTGGGTGTCCCTACCCCTTGCCTCCCACCAGGATGTTGGCAGTCCACAGGTGTCCCTCAGCACCTTGCTGCGGAACTAAGGATGCTCCCCTTGTCTGTCTCACTGTAACAAATGACTTACTGGAACTGTTTTCCAGATGATATCCCAAGTCTGCCAAACTTAACTCCGCTTTTCATCACCATTGACCCAGAGAGGGACACAAAAGAAGCCATTGCCAACTACGTGAAAGGTGAGTTTTTATTAATAGCACTTTCCATTTATTTAACGCTTTAAACTTTTTGAGGTGTCAACCCAAACCTTAGACAACCTTGTGAAATAGGATACATTTTATAATTTGTAAAATCTCACCAATTTTACAATAAGAAGATGCTTAGACTTGGAACTGACTAGCCCATCAGTAGCAGCTTTCATGAACGGATGTTGTGAAAGTCTAAAACATTATGTGTTAAAAGTCTAAAATATTTATATATTTAAAGTTTTTTTGTTGTTTAATGTTTTTATTGGAAAGTCAGATACACAGGAGGAGAGACAGAGAGGAAGATCTTCCGTCCATTAAAGTCTTAGTTATTTACCTGCAGGAGTTATAGAGAGAAAGGAGGGAGACAGAGAACCTTGCATTTGCTGGTTGATTCCCTCAATGGTCATAAAGCGAACTAGCAGATGGGACCCCTTTAATTTGCTATTTTGTCTCTCTGCCCCTCAGATGAATGAAATCAGCGACTAAAAATTAAAATAGTTTCAAGTTTTGATGAAGTCCAGATGTATCAGTTTGCTGTTTTCTATGTAGTGCTTTTGGTTTGCTATGTTAAGAAACCTTTGCATAGTCCAAGGTTACCTTGAGTTTATGTTTTTATTGTATGCATTTAAGGAAAACTTATGCTCACAATCTGCAGATTCATTGGAAAGTTGAACATAGTCTAGTTACTTCCTAAAGCAATAAAAACTGGGTGTATATGAACTCATTGTGTAACACAGTCTTCCACTATAATGAGCTACATTGGCTGTGATTTTTATCATGTGCTAATCAAGCCATGGTCTCCCCACACGAGTAAACAGCTGAGTTGCCTTACTTGACTGCAATTCCAAAGCCTGATGGCCGATTTCTTCTGCAGCATACACAGTTATTGATGAGGTAATTATTGCTAGTTGTATTTTAGGGAGAGTCTTCAAAATCACAGTTGGTATTTAGAAAATCATTTTGTAACTTGTGCAATTGAAGCTGAAAGAATAGTTTGGGCACACGGTTAGTGGAAAAGACAAGGCATCCGTCCTCTTCAGAGCCTGGACAATTTCAGAGTTGTATTGTTGTGTTTCCATTAGATCTGAAAGACAGGGTGGCAGAACTTCCACTGCTGTTTGCTCGAGATGCTCACAGTGACCGTGACGGCCAGGTAGAAGTCGGGAACCTAGAACTCAAGTCCAGTTCTCCCGTGTGGTGGTGGTGGGGACTCAGTTCTTGAGCCATCACCCTTGTGTTCTTCCCTGGGTGCATATTAGCAGGAAGCTGGAACAGAAGCGGAAGTCAGGCCTTGAACCAGGCACTCTATTAAGCGATGCTAGTGTCCCAAGCAGCGTCCCAGGTGCTGAGTCAAACACCTGCCCCAGTGTCTCAGTTTAGAATGAATTAGTCCGTGGGCTTCTGTATCAGTTGGAAGAAAGGACTGCTGTTCAAAACTAAGCTATTGTTTCAGTAGTTGATCGATTCAGTTGTCTTGTAACTTCTGCTCACTCATAAAGGTTAACAGCAGTGCTGGTCTGCCCTCAGCCCTGAACTGTGCTGCCCTTGTGGTGGTGGGTATCAGTTGTCTGGTTGTCAGGCATTGAAGAGCAGAACCCGATACCGTGTTGAAGTTGTTGGCTGGCAAATAACCTAGAGCTATTGATTCGTTACGAACTTGATTATAAAGCAAGCTTGTTTCTCATGTGTTGCAATGAAAAACTACAACACTAATTTTTATAAACCTCTTTATAAATGTCAGAACATCTCAGAACTTCATGTGAATATTATTTTAACTAGATTAAATGCCAGTGTGGATCTAAATAATTATAATATGTTCGCTCTGAGTTTTTACCGACTAATCCTAAAATAATTTGACTTCGGAGTATTGACAGAAGAGAATTTTCACTTTTTCCGTCTGTGAATCCTTTCCTTGTGTCTGGTGAAATGTTTGCAGACTCACTACAAGAAAGCCCTGTGGCTGCTTTGCAACTGCTTTTCAAAGAGATGAATGTCTTGCTTGCTCCTGATTTTGTGCTGACAGCCTTGTTTCTTATTTAGAATTTTCTCCCAAGCTGGTTGGCTTGACTGGCACCAAAGAAGCGATTGACCAGGTCGCCAGAGCATACCGAGTGTACTACAGCCCTGGCCCCAAAGACGAGGACGAGGACTACATAGTAAGTGAATGTGCTGGGCCTGAGCTGGCAGGTGGCTCCCATATTTTCTTTCTTTCTTTCCTTTTTCACTTTTAGATAGATTTATTTACTTATTTATTTATTTGAGAGGCAGTTACAGAGAGCCATCTTCCATCCACTGGCTTGCTCCCCAAAAGGCTGCAGTAGCCAGGGCTGGGTCAGACCAAAGCTGAAGGATGGAAGCTCCGCCGGAGCCCAAGCCCCTGCCACCCTCTGCTGCTTTCCCAGGTGCGCCAGCGGGGAGCTGGTTCATAAGTGGGGCAGCTGGAGCTTGCGCTAGCACCCGTATTGGTTGCCAGAACTCCAGGCAAAGCCTAACCTACTGAGCCTCAGTGCTAACCCTGGGTGTATATTTTTCAGAAGATGCTTGTTGAATTCTCATTCACTGTTCTCATGGTTCATTTTTAGAGGCACATGGAACCCTGGGACAGTATAAAATCAGGTACTTGAAAATAAATGGAAAATGTAAGAAACGTGCTTTTTTGGGATCCAGGCCCTGGGAGCTGCACGTAATAGGTTGAGTGAGAATTCTGAATTGCAAGAGAAAGATGAAAGCGACCAGAAGGGAGACTTTGCATTCCTTTGCATACCAACTGTATGACACAGCTCCGTGCTGAATGTGCTTTTGAATGGCAAGGGCGTGGCACTGAGTTAAGGTGGACTCGGGAAGCCCTTAGGGAAGAACTGTCTTCACATTCCTGGTGCCACCTTAGGCTGAGGCCCGAGTTGCTGTGTTCCTTTGCTCACAGTGGTTCCTTGGAACATCAGCAGTGGGTATAAGACTCCTACCCACCCACCCACTTTTCTCGATATAAAATTGGCATATTTTATTGTTACTTCATTTTCCCTCGCAATTGTCGTATTTTATTTTCCTATAGTATATGACTGGACAAAGTGATTAGTTGTGAGAGCCATTTTTAGCAACAAAGCTGGCTTTGTGCCAACATGGCCAGGTCTCTTGACGTCCAGCTCACTGTGGCCCACCCCAGGAGCAGAGTGTGAGAGTCCGCTTCCTGTCGTGTCGTTGCTCTCCTGTCCCCAGGGATGCCCTCTCACCTGTGCCTAGGAACCTGCAGCCACAGCTCAACCCACACGACCACTTAACTGAGCCCCCACAGGAGTCATAACCCTCAGGATCTGGTGCCTAAGAGTTGGGGAAATTAGGATTCATGGGAGGAAAAAGACAAGGGAAATGAAACATTCTCTTTAATCTCCAGCTTGAAGCGACATGCATGGACCGTCTGATATTGCCTGTTGCTGTAGCAGCAAGCCAGTGAAGGAGGAGAGTTGGGGCGGTGCTGTGGCCAATTCGAATGAGCAGCGGGGGCTTAAACCGGTGCTCATACAGGATGCTCATGCCACTATGCTGTGGCATAGTACACTCAACTCTGCCCGTGGCACTGGCGTCTCATATGGGCGGTGGTTTCTGGGCCAACTGCTCCGCTTCCCATCCAGCAACCTGCTTGTGGCCTGGGAAAGCAGCGGAGAATGGCCCAAAGCCTTGGGACCCTGCACCCGCATGGGAAAACCAGAAAAAGGTGCTGGTTCCTGGCTCAGCCATTTGAGAGGTCTCTGTCGTACTCGCTTGCTCTCTCTCCGTCTCTTTGTAAATCTGCCTTTCAAACAAATGTAAGTCTTTAACAAAATGCAGAGTGGAAGGGAGTAGAGACCAAGAGAGGAAGTCATGGAGTAGAAGAAGGTTTTATAATTTGTTTGAGGCTGATTTTATTTTGCTAGAAATAGAGGTACACAGAGGAAAAGAGAGAGATCTATCCGCTGGTTTGCTCCCTAAATGGCTGCAGTGGCAAGAGCCGGGCCACTCTGAAGCGGGGAGCCGGGCGCTTCTTCCAGGTCTCACATGTGGGCACAGGGGCTCAAGAATTTGGACCATCCTCTGCTGCTTTCCCAGGCCATTGGAAGGGAGCTGGGTCGAAAGTAGAGCAGTGGGGGCTTAAACCGGTGCTCATACAGGATGCTCATGCCACAAGCAATGGAGTAGCGTGCTACCACAGTGGTGGCCCCAGAATTGTCATGCTTCCCTTCTTTGTGCAGAGAGGTTTTTGTGGTTTTGAGTTTAGCTCGGCAAGGGTAGGTGAGTCAGTCTGTGAAGGGTGCATAAATATTCATTTATATAAATAATGGAATTTTTAAAAATATGCATGAGGGTAGTTCAAAAATGTGGAGAAATGGATTTTTCCACAGTTATGTTTATTGGTGCAAAAACTCTTTCTAAAAATCGGTGATTTTTTGTAGTAGTCATTTCCCATGGACTTTTTTTTTTTTTTTAAGATTGATTTATTTCTATTGGAAAGGCAGATATAGAGCGAGGGATCTTCTGGTTCACCCCCCAAGTGGCTACTGATCCGGAGCCAGGAGCTTCTTCCAGGTCTCTCACATGGGTACAGGGTCCCAAGGCTTTGGGCTGTCCTTCACTGCTTTCCCAGACCACAGACAGAGAGCTGGATGGGAAGTGAAACAGCCAGGATATGAACCAGTGCCCATATGTGATCCCAGCACATTGCAAGGTGAGGACTTTAGCCACTAGGCCACTGCTCCGGGACCTTCGCATGAACTTTGTGAGAACCCTTCATACAGTCCTAGACTAGGTGACATTCCTTATTGTGTATGATGCTAAAAGAAAAATTGTACCAATAAGACTGAGCAGCTTATGCAACAGAAATTTAGACCATTCATTTAAAGTCATGTGGGTTGTTTTCCTGAAACCAAAGTGTTGCTCACTGTGACACAAGACTGAGGTCAGACTGCGGGTGGGCATCCAGCTGTGCCATCAGCCGCCCCTCCGCCATTTTCTCTTTGCAACACCTTGAGGCTGGCGATGGTGTGCTTGGCCTCGACTGTTGGACTGACTGAGCAGAGGGGCGTTGTTGGGGTCACCTGCGTGCAGTCCGGAGGGACAGCTGGATGCCAGTGAAATCAGACTCAGGTTCAGAGACTCGGTTGTCCTCACACTATAGGTTATCCAGAATACAGATAATGCATTTTTGTGTCTTAAAATTAAAATGCAGGTAGGTCCAATGCAGACTTCTTGAGCACTGCAGTACATCCTAACTACCTTGGGGGAATCTTTGCAAGATTTTGACCTTTTGGTAAGAATCCTTGAGTTGGTTGCTGTCCTTTTGCTGAGTCACCCGTAGGGGGCGACGTAGAGCTTCCTGGGCTGCTCCTGAGCGGGGTGCATTTCCTGAGGTCATGGACCTTCATTCCTGGGATGGTACAGGAAGCTTGGTTAGGATGCGGTGAGCTGCAAAAAGGAGCAAGCCACCTGAGAAGGAGCAGGTGTTCTTAGTAGTAGCAGAAGGCAGGCAGCTGGCCTTTAAATGGATGCTACATGCTGGAGATACGTGTAAGCTGGGCAGGACAAACCAGTGGGATTCTATTCAAAGTAAAGTCAGGACCCGGCGCCGTGGCCTAGCAGCTAAAGTACTCACCTTGCACGCACCAGGATCCCATATGGACACCAGTTCTAAACGAGCAGCCCCGCTCCCCATCCAGCTCCCTGCTTGTAGCCTGGGAAAGCAGTCTAGGATGGCCCGAAACATTGGGTCCCTGCACCCACACGGGAGTCCTGGAAGAGCTCCTGGCTCCTGGCTTCCAATCAGCTCAGCTGCGGCCATTGCAGTCACTTGGGGAGTGAATCATCGGATGGAAGAACTTCCTCTCCATCTCTCCTTCTCTCTATATATCTGGCTTTGCAATTAAAAATAAATAAATCTTTCAAAAAAAAAAAAAAGAGAAGTCAGTGCTGGTAGTGCTAGTATTGCCTGACAACTCTGCACATTATTATATAGGCAGCAGACAGACAATACTTTGGAGGGAACGCAGCTTTAAAACCCAAAATAATCACTTAATAGAGGGAATGTGGATTGTGTAATGAGAAGCCTTTGTTTACTAATTAGTTCAGGCAGTGCTGAGGAAATTTGAAGACACATTGTTAGGCCTCTTCTTGCTTGTCAGTAGGGTTAAACAGAAAAAAAGGGCGACGTGGGGGCAAGAGAGGGCGCCGCACCGGGAGACCCGACATCTCACGTCAGCGTGGGGACGTGCAGAGGCTGTCCCGCTGCTGCAGGGAGCTCCCCGGACACGCCAGCAGCTGTCGGGGCCCTCGGCCTGGTGCATTCCTTCCTCATGCGGGCAGCCAAGCGGCTCTTTGCATTTGCTCTCTCCTTGGGAGAGTACGTATATAAAAAACCAGTAACCTCACAGACCTAGAACGAGAGCTGGGGCCGGCTGGGGCGTCTGCAGGCACGCGTGTGAGGTCAATTCCCGCCTCTTTCTGGCTCCCAGCGGCAGTCAGGCCTGCAGCCAGTCCCAGGGACTCTCAGAGCTGCCCGCCTCAAAAGTGTCCAACCAAAAAAACTGATGACGAACCCAAGCTTAAGTTAGAGCCGAGAGTGTTTCGGGAACCCTGCCAGGAACACGGCTGTTGCCCATCCTAGGGGGTGTGTCGCCACTGCCCCGAGTCGGCCAGGAAGACGTCTGGGGGAGGAACCCCTCTGGTTCTATTTAAGTTACTAAAATCAGAACTAAATCCTGTGCTAACATAGATCATGTGATTGAACTAGCGGTTGGTTTTCTAGTTCTTTCTCGGAGAAGGTAATCACAGAATTAAAGCAGTGAAACAACATCAGTTCTTCCTAAAGCATGAAGGAGTATGGCCATGAACTTAGGAACTTGGTCCCAGCACTTAGTTCCACGTGACCTCCCTCTGTAGTGTGATCGGGGAGTGAGGTGAGTGAGCTCAGTCGAACAGCAGCTGTGTGCAAACGCGTTGCTGCTTCAGAAGCACTGTGACATGCAGGGCCGCAGACCTTGTGCGGGGCCAGTGCTGTGGCATAGCGCGCTAAGCCTCCGCCTATAGCACCTTCATCCCACATAGACACCAGTTTGAATCCCAGCTTCTCCACTTCCAGACTGCTCCCTGCTCATGTGCCAGGGAAAGGAGCAGAAGATGGCCTGTGTGCTTGGGCACCTCTGTCCGCCCAGCAGGCCCAGAAGAAGCTCCTGGCTTGTGGCTTTAGTCTGGCCCAGCTCCAGCCTTTGCAGCCATTTGGGGTGTGAGCCAGTGGATGGAAGATCTCTCCCTCTGCCTGTCCTCCTCCTCCATAACTCTGCCGTTCAAGTAAAAATAAATCTTTTTAAATTTAAAAAAAAAATAGAAAAGGAATGTCACGCTCTAGCTGTTTTGTCGAGCAGTGGCCAGCGCAGATCTCCGTAACGTGGAGGACTTTCTGGACAGTCCATCGCAGCGCATGCGCTGTGATAAGCTCTGGCCCGCTCCGGGAGTCAGGGCGCACGCCTCTTTAAGCCTCAATGTGAAGTTCTTTCATCCACAGCGTTTTTTCATCACTGTAAATTAACACAAGTGGTGTGTTTTCCGAAACGTCCCCTCAGACATGCCCTCTGCCTTTTCTCTGCAGGTGGATCATACAATAATCATGTACTTGGTTGGCCCAGATGGGGAGTTTCTGGATTATTTTGGCCAGAACAAGAAGAACGGAGAGATAGCCGGCTCCATTGCCGCGCACATGAGGGCGCACATGAAGAAGTGCTAGCCTAGCCGGGCAGCCACACCCCACGGGGCCGTGTTCTCGCGTGAAAGAGGATGGCGGATTTGTCTCCCACGGGAGCCGACATGTACAACACCAACGCAAACTGCAGAGCGGCCATCACACCAGGAGAAGGCCTGTAACTGGGAGTGTGTGTGACCCGTGGGTCCAGCCAAGAGAGGCTCCTGGGACCGTGAAGATGAGAGCCAGGTCTCCCCGGCAGCCGCCGTGACACGGGGGACCAAGGTGGAGGGAAGCCCGTGGGGAGAGGACCTCGGGGAGGCCGGCCTCGGAGCCCGGCCCTGGTCTCGCCACTTTGTTCCTGTGGTTATGAGGCTGAATTTACTGAAGGGCGGGTAGGTCTCTGCCACTCAGGTTCCACTCGGGGCCATTCCACGTTAACCTGCACACTTGGAAGCCTGCGTTGGGTTTTCCTTGTTACTGGCTGTGACTGTCCGCCGGGGCATCACATGCTCCCGTCAGCTGGGGTTGTTTGATGAAGTCACCTGCTGTCTGGGGGAAGCCCTGGTTTGTTCTTTGATGTGATGACCACATGCCCCCTCAGGTGGTCAGTGACATTGACTGTGTGCGCTGCCATCGCTGGACTGCGCCGTGTGTGAAATAAAGCCGGTGCCCTCCACTTCGCCACTCAGCTGAGCCTGGCCTTTTGGTGGCAAAGAGCGGGTGGGGCTCAGCTGGCCAAACTCGGCCCCCAGAGCAAGGACCAGCTGGTGGCCGTGGGTGGCCCAGAGGGTGCCCGCTGCACTGTAGGTTTCGCAGCCTAGAGCTGAAATCACTTAAGTCAGGGGTCCAATGCAGAACTGAATTCCTGAGAGAAGTGCTTTGTGTCTGAGATGCCGGCGGTCTGGGGACCGACCGTGCAGGGTCTGGGGGCGGGGGATGATAACCTCTGGCCCAGCTTCCAGCGCGTCAGCCAGCGTTCACACAAAATGGAAGTGGAGTATGGGATGAACGGGCTCGCATGTTGATCTTGGAGTTGACGGTCAGTGCTTTACTCTTAGAGCCGCTGTCTCGGGGCCAGTTCCTCCAGGAGGTCAGTGAGTCGGGTACGGCCACCCAGCCTGGTCGGAAAGCAGGGTCTGTGCCCGCCAGCTGTGTCTGACAGCACATGGCACAGGCCTTTATCTTGGACATTTGTCAGCGTTGCGTTAGACCTCCTGTAAGTGCTTCTCTGGAAGGAAAGCTGTCCGAGGAACTCTGCAGCTACATCCGAATCGTGCCCCCAGGCTCTGTGTGTGGGCCCAGCCCTGGTACTTCAGAATGGAATGTATTCGGTCTTCCAAGAGATGGGAAGGCAGCTTTCCCCAAGCTGAGGGTGGTGGGGAGGGGCGCCTCCAGCCCTGCTCGCAGCCTTGAGATATAGATGTATATATCACAGCCTTTTTTTTAAAGATTTATTTATTTTTGTTGCAAAGTCAGATACACAGAGAAGAGGACCGGCAGAGAGGAAGATCTTCCATCCATTGATTCGCTCCCCAAGCAACCATAGTGGCTGGAGCTGAGCTGATCTGAAGCCAGGAGCCTCTTCCAGGTCTCCCACGCGGGTGCAGGGACCCAAGGCTTTGAGCTGTTCTCGACTGCTTTCCCAGGCCACAAGCAGGAAGCTGGATGGGAAGTGGAGCAGCCAGGATGCTAACTGGTGCCCATATTGGCTCGTGGCACTTAAATGGGGAGGAGTAGCCAATCGAACCATTGCACCAGGCCCAGATGGTCAGTCTTAATCAGTGGCCCACCTGGTCTTCACCTGCCTGGTCCCATGCCAGTTCTAGCCCAGCCCCACTACATGTCCAAAGAGGACAGTTCTTTCAAAAACAACCACAAGACCCAGCGCAGTAGCCTGGTGGCTGAAGTCCTTGCCTTGCATGAGCAGGGATCCCATATGGGCACTGGTTCATATCCCAGCTGCTCCACTTCTCATCCAGCTCCCTGCTTATGGACTGGGAAAGCAGTCGAGGATAGCCCAGAGCCTTGGGCACATGAGCCCACGTGGGAAACCTGGAAGAAGCTCCTGGCTCCTGGCTTCAGATCAGCTCTGCTCTAGTCATTGCAGCCATTTGAGAAGTGAACCAGTGGAGAGGAGACCCCTCTGTCTTGCTTTCTCTATGTAATCTGCCTTTCAAGTAAAATAAAATATTTACAGAAAAACAAGAGTGAAGGCACTGATCGACCCTGAGTGACTGGCCCCAGGTTGGACACGGTGGCCAGAGCCAGTGCCAACGGCAACATGCCCAGATGAGAGAGGGACTGACACGGGGTGAGACCCTCAGAGAGTTTTAATCCAAGCTGGGGGCTTGTGATGGCAGGGCCACAGGGCTGGCGTGTGACGTGAGCTGCTCTGTACATCCAGTCGTCCTTCCCCTACTTGAAGATCCAGGAACCTCTGCGCCCACCCTGGCCCCTCAAGCTGGAAGACAGTGGCCAATGCTGGCACAATTTTGAGAGACCTAGGACTTTCCTTCTGACACACAGGGGGGAGAGCTATTGCAGGAGAGATTGGTGACCACAGCCAACGACAGCTGTCATTGCTTGTCAAGCAGGGGGGACAGGCGCTGGTGCCCCTTGAGTCCCGTAGTGTGTGTGGGGGGGGTCTATGCACTCACAGCTGAACCTCTCAGGAATTCCTGGGCGGGTCTGCAGCTGGTACCCTCTTCTCCATTTTCCACTTAAGGCTGCTGCCAAGGTGAGGGTCAGGGACGGAGCTCCAGGGAACACCTGTGATGGTCTCCCAGTCTAGGGAGGCTGCACCGAACAAGGACTCGTGACCTTGAAATGGCTCTGCCATCTGCTGGGTCAGACCATCTCTCGTGTCCTTGTTGCGTGAGGTGAGGAGGAAGGGCCCAAAGGGACATTTTGCTGGCCCCAGCTCAGGCCTCCACTGCACATCTCCCGGTTCGGAATCTGTATTTTCCAAAATCTCTAAGTAATTCTTGGGGTACATTCCCAAGACCCTAGAACAGAAAGACCAATTCACCCTTCCTCAACCATTGGTTTTGTTTGCATTAAACAATCTGACGAACCTGCCCAGTTAACAGGTTGTACTTTCTAATGGCCATTTCCTTGCTCAGTTTTTGAACTTTTCAAATACTGTCTGTTGTTGTGGTCCTGGGCAACTAGTTCAGGGTCACAAGCTTGGAAGCCACAGCGTCCTGCCGTGCAGTCCCTTCTGCCCACCTGGGCTGGTGTTGCATTGTTGCCTAACCAAGCCCCTCGCAAGCCCCCATAAAGGCCCATGATAGGCAGGGGCGCACCCTCTTGATCACGTGCGTCTGTCACTCTGGCACTCCGACTCTTGGCTTCCCCGGTGCCTGTTTGCTCTCTGACTTCCCACGGACAAATTCCAAGGACAGGCAGCCCCCGAGCATGGCCCCTGTGTGTCTGTATTCCTCACTCTGTTCACTGCTCGGGTGGGACAGTGAAGATGTTAAGGCTAAAATGTTTTGTAGTTCTAATCTGTGTTCTTTCAAGAGTCCCAGGAGAGGTGAGGCCTAGCATGGAATGTGGGCAGAGGAGCCAGGAAGAGTGGCTTTGTAAGTGTGCTCAGGTTGTTCGCTGTATGGTTCTTGGGATAACTTCTATTGCCCATGCATTCAGAAAGCTGTGCCTAGAACAGGACGGAACTCATTCACCCACACAGCCTGTTCAGTGCTGTGGGGCTGAATACTAGTAATATGCAAACACATCCAGGCCCCGGGAGGAGGCCTCAGGGATGCAAATAGCCACGCCAGAGAGACAGACAATGCCAGGATAGTTGTCCTCAGACAGGGCACCTGCAACTAAACCCTTTTTGGTTTGACTGTATCACGTATCTAATCAGCATCCAGTTATGAATATGCAAAACCCAGCATGGCTAGATCCGGATAGCCACATAGTAAACAGGATGAGAAGATGATTCAGTTCACAGTAATCACACAGAATCAATCACAACTGAGGATGGCTCAGGATCTATTGAAAGAAAGTGATCAATTTTGGGGGAAAAAATGTAAGATATTGGTGAACAAAACTTTTTTTTTAATAAAATAGGCTGACATTCTAAAAAATATATATTTATTTATTCTTATTGGAAAGGCAGATTTACAGAAAGAAGTAGAGATATAGAGAGAAAGATCTTCCACACACTGGTTCACTCCCCAGATGGCTGCAATGGCAGGAGCTGAGCTGATCTGAAGCCAGGAGCTTCCTCCGAGCCTCCCAAGCGGGCGCAGGGGCCCAAGGACCTGATCCGTTTTCCTTTGCTTTCCCAGGCCATGAGCAGGAAGCCGAGTTAGAAACAGAGCTGCTGGGACTTGCACCAGTGCCCATATGATTAGCCTGCTATTCCACCATGCTGGCCCCTCAACTGCACGTTTTAAGAAGGTGGGTTTAACTGCAAAGACCCCAACGAGCCTTTCTTTTAAAAATTGCAGTGGCTTTTCAGGGGAGCTCAAGAGTGATTCAGAAGTGAATCTAGAAAAGTTGGACTGCAGCAGTAGGAGAAGCTTTTATACCAAGCGGCTGCAACGGCCAGAACTGAGCTGATTCAAAATTAGGAATGAGGAGCTTCCTCTGGTCTCCCACGCGGGTGCAGGGTCCCAAGGCTTTGGGGCATCCTCGACTGCTTTCCCAGGCCACAAGCAGGGAGCTGGATGGAAGCGGGAGCAGCCAGGACGTGAGCCAGTGTCCTTATGAGATGCTGATGCTTGCAGGTTTAAGATCAGCCGGTTGAGCCACCACACTGCTCCTATCCCCACCCACACACCCCAGCTCCACATGTGAATTCTAATGTGGTCCTATAGTTGCTTCCTTCCAGTCATATAGGTGCTAAGGAGAGCTGTTAAGCTGTGAGCAGGCTGAGGTGCACGTGTTATGGTCCACCACTGAGGACCACCACAGGAGCACAGGAGAAAGTCACCTTAATCTAATACCCTCTAGCCTAGAAACCACAATGGGGTGAGAGGTGTTTATTGTTCTTGCTGGTGTGTGCCTGGTAAGTGTGGATTGGAGAGAAGTGAGGCAGGACGCTAGCTCCTGGTGCAAACCTTGGGAAGGTCTGGGAGGAAAACGCTTACGGTAAGGATGCTGATCAGGACCCTGACCCTGAGGTATGTCCCATCAAAAAGAGAGATCCCACTTGTGACCCTCTCCCAACTCTCCATCCATTTGCACACCTTGTCATGGTCCAAGTGATTCTCCTTCACGCCCTGAATCACAGGATCAGAAGACGGCAGAGCCCAGGAGGACCTAGGGCGCCATTAAAGGCAGTCCAGAGGGCTTCAATAGTTAGGACATTTTAAGCTGAAGGAGGGAAGGGAATTTCTCTCGTGGTCCTCAAGGATGTCACCCAAGTCCCCAGGGGACTGGTGTGTCGCCCTGGGACCGGGCACCAGGGCCCTCCCACAGCCTCGTCGCCCTGAGCGTTCTTCGCTGCTGAGTCAGAGTTTCCTCACCAATTAAGTGGGGATCATTCCACCTGCTCCGTCTACTCCCTGGGATTGCTGTGAGCCCCGGGGGAGACGAGGGACAAACGGGGAACACGTTGCAGTCTGCAAGCAGGATTACCGAAATCACGGATAAATGAAAGTTCTTAAAATAGAAAAATGTCAACATCTCAAGAGGGATGGACCCAAGAGGCTATTTGTGGAGGAGCCACTGGTG